GAAGCTTATCGGCGATTTACCAGTCAAATTAAGACAGATCAGATTTTTACTTTTGAAAATCTGCAAAATGCAGATTGCCCTGGGAATCGGATCCGAATCCGGGATTGCGATAATAACCATCTGGCTCAAGAAGAGCAATCTGGGCAATTACGGGGGAATTACGACGCGGATCGGTGCTGACTCAACCAGCAATCCCGCCTTGATTAATGGCCAATCGAAGCCGCGAAAATTGCAGCGAAGTTGGGAGGAAATTTTCATCTTCGACGTTCAGTCCCGTCACGTACCGCCGATAAGTATTGGAGCCGATCTCCATGATAATGTAGAGGGCTGACCCCTTCGCCCTTGAGGGAGGCCGTGACTGGCCCTGGAGGGATGCGATGCGGCTTGACGGTTGCTTCAGCGTTTCAGAAATGTCGAGGCGAATTTCTGCAGTCGCTAATTCCTCGTCGGGAAATAGATATCAAAGGAAAGCGAAACAGAAGAAATCCATTTTCATACAACTCAAGAAACAAGCTTAACATGAAACTGGGGGTTTCTGTATGCAACTGGAGAGTTCCAGAATGGCGAGAGGGAGCTTGGTGTATGCGACCTGCGATCGCGGACGCAAAGATTGGGAGCTTGGTTTATGCGACCTGCGATCGCGGACGCAAAGATTGGGAGTTTGGTTTATGCAATCTGCGATCACGGACGCAAAGATTGGGAGCTTGGTTTATGCAATCTGCGATAGCAGACGGAGAAGGAACATCGGAGTCCCAAGGATAAGGCTTGGATTTCCATCGTCACTCGAGATCGCCCGCAATTAAGTCTGATTCACGAGGTATGAAGTCAGAAGAAAATGACAATCTCATTCTGATTTAATTGCTTCGAGATGATGAGCTTTCAGTTAAATGGGGTGCGACTTACGTAACATTCTCAGTGGAGGACGGAACCCTGCAGACCTCCTCGGTGCTAGTCTATAGCTGTGTGCTTCTGAGTACTGATTGAGTACCGAGGGAGTACTGAGGGAGTACTGGTACTTGATAGCTGCAGGTGTTGCATGGACCGGTGCGAACTGACCTCGTAACTCTAAATGTTTGAGGACCGATTTGATTTCCCTGGTTAAAACAGCTTCGATCTGTGCCGCTGGTATGTAAAATTAACCTTTTCAGACCTAAATTAAGTCAGCTATCGCAATATCATTTTTTTTGCATTTTTGAGCTCTTTCGTGATTGTAATTGTAATTTTTGTGCTTCATAGGTAGTTTTCATATTTTGTATAAATTTACCATATCATACCATATATTATATATTATAAATTTAATTGAATAACCTCAAAACTAATGGGTGAAAGAAGGTCTCTGATGGAATTGAGCCATGCATAATTGCACCCATTGTAGCATAATAAGGACAAATCCTAATCCTAATCCTAAGAGAATCCTAAGAAGTTGCCATAGACACATTGCAACAATATCCATTGGAATGGTCGCCGGGTCGGAGAGGGTGGAACAACTGCAAGGCGGTCGAGGGAATTGTTGGCGCATGGGATGAGTTACCCTGTGGTTGGGGTCGCGGTCGAAGGCCGTGATTTAGGAGATTGAGCCTTCGTCATTCCTGGAAATTGGCTGGTTTTTCTCGCCGTCTCGGCGAGATGTCGAAGAATAGTGCGGTTGCGGGGTCATAAGCGCTTGGATTCTTGCTAGGCTCGGATGTTGAACCTGTGCATTTTCTTGTTGGGGGGGGGGGTCTTGGCCCGCCCTTGGCCCTCCCTTGGCCCACCCTAGTTACGTCTCAGTTGAGAATGAATTGCATCAAATATTGTTTACTTGCCAAGTACAAATTTTACTGATTTTCTAGCAGGTAGGAGGAGACGTGAGCATTGAGGTGTGTGTCGTGTGAGCCAAATATAAACCGGAAATAAACCGGAAGTGTCACAGCATCCCGAAGCCGCATCTCCTCCAAACATCCCGAAAATGCGTATAGACTTGATGCGAAGAATCAGCCGTCGCGTCCACGGCCTCTCCGAGTCCCTTTTCCACAAGTAAGTCCAGGTCCAAGCAGATTAATCTCAAGCAAACCAAGCCCAAGCAAATCAAGCTTAAGCAGGTGGACCCGATGATGAGGTCATGTGAGAACGAATGGGTTCCTGAAAACTCATTTTCTTTCGTTGGGCATTCATCATATAAGAGGATTTCCCTCTTCCCGGGAAAAAATGGATCCAGAAAATAGCTTAGACAGGAAATTTTTCTCCATCAGTGCGTAACCTTAATATCTAAAGAAATTTGTATTCTCTTCCAAACTTTCGGTATGATGCAGTAAATTGTTGAGATAATTCGGTTTATAAATTTGGAAAGCACAACATATCAAGATGGAACAAATTTTTTACTTTTCATTTTGTGAGCAAGTGAATCGTTGTTTCAAGATGAAATTCACATACGTGGGAAAGGAGATATGGGGAGAAAAAAGCTATCGTTTTTGACGAGTTGTCAATCTGATTGGTGGCTGCCGATTCGGATGAAATTCGGTAGGCATATAGGGTGACTCAATTAGGATCAGCGTGTCAAGTTTCAAATAAAAGTGCAAAAAACTGTGAAGTTGGCATCTAATTTACTTTTCATCGCCAAATATGTAAGTGTTCTTATTCTTTTAGCTGAACATTTTTAAAAACTGACAAAAACAAAAAAAAGAAAGAAAAAATAAATAAATGCACAAATGCCAAAAAAAGGAACACAATTCGGTTCAGGGACGTTCATTTCAACTGAAAAGGGGCACCTTTTAAGGGAAACTGAAAAGGACACCCCAGAACCGTCGAAGCAGTGCCTCCCAGTTTTCCCTCGCAGCGTCATGCTGGGACGGGAGGCCGTGCCTCCTTACCATCCCGCGCCGGAAAGTTCTATAGGGTAACTTGGGGGAATATGGACACCAAAAATGAAATCAGGTTATAGCGTCACGTCTAGGTGAAATTAAACTTTGCCAATATTCAGAAAATATTGATTGATGTCTCCTTTATTTATTCCCAACAAGATCCGTGCAGAAAAGTAAATGGGAAAAGAGTATTTGGGACCTCTTCACATGGGTCCCAAGAGGCCATATTACCCCTATTGTTGGGGGAATATGACCCTACAAAATGAAACCTGGTCATCATGGTCCATCAAGGTTGAATTTGACTTTTACAATGTTTCTAAAATATTGCTTGATATCTCCTTTGCTAAATGCCAGCAAGGCGTATGCAAAAAAAACCATGGTTATGGCGTCTTTGGGTCTTTTTTGAGTTGGTCTCAAGAGGCCATATTAACACTATAGTTGGGGGAATATGGCCACTTCTGAAAAACAACTCCAGATTGTCCAGGAACGTGTGAAATGTGCTGGAACATGCTGAGTACCTTGAAACATGATAAAGGACTCTCAGCAGTTGAAAAAGAAACATTAACTGCACCGAGGACAAACAAAGAAGTCGACATCATTACCTGACTCGAGGAACCGTTGTGGAAAACAGGATTGCAACGCTTTTGCTTTTGAGTAACAATGCACGTGATTGGGAGACAATATCTAGAGACTGTGTATGTGTAAGAGGAATGATCAAGCATCGATTAAAGTGACTATGCGCTACGAGTGTAAAATAAGAGGTCTTACATTGCAGGAAAAATGTTGCGTTGTTTTTGCATGTATGGATAAATAGTGCCAAAAACCACAGAATGTCCTATTTTTACGAGGGATATTTACTTGCATTCAAGTTTCGTGCAACAAAAATTTCTGGAGAATGTCAAGCGATGCAGAAGGAGGTGCATAAGCATACCCTCATGCACGGCCTCCTCATGTACTGCATATTTCGTCCAGATGTCCAGTACGTCTATCCATATATCCAGAGGAAGTGCATTGGATGATCTCTTGCAGTCTGAGATCCCACACGAAAGGATGCAGACAGTATCAATAGGTCTGTGCGGTGCTAACATGAAATGAAGGATGTGTCCATATTACCCCATATCGAGATGGCCATATTTCCCCATATTGGCTCGCATTACAAAATTGACAACACTGCCTACAAACCGCAAGTGAAGGGGCTAGCACTTTGCACAAGCATTCTGCAGAGACCATAGAAGAACTTAGAAGTAATGGTTTTTGTATCCATACTGCTATTAGGAAATATACGCTTATGTTGCTCAAGGCTCATATTGGTTCCACGGTGATGAGTCAAAGAATCGTATGCATATGACTTTTAAGACATCGATGTATCCCGAATTCCTGTGGGAACTGGATTGATGAACAGGTCTACACATTTCGACAATTGCATGTACTCTTCGATAGAACTATTTTTTAAATTCGCCCAAACTAATTATTCAGTCTATAAGGGGATTCCTTGTGAAGGGCCATATTACCCCAATGACCATATTCCCCCAAGTTTCCCTTTTGATATTTTCGACAGCACGTTTTGCCATTGGTCATCGGGAAAGAGGTGCAGCACCTATAATTTTAGAGCCATCCAATTGTTTTCAGGAAAATGCCCAGAATAAAGGGAAAATAAAATGTGTTAGAAAAAAAGGGGTGGGGGGGGGGAATAAATGTCAACTAGGAGTGAAGGCGCGTGAGGTAAAAATGATGAGAGTGGTTAATTAAAATTAGAATAATATTGGAAAAGGGCTACGAAAAGTGGGTAAAAGGGTGAAACACACACTAGGGTTGTCTCACGACAAAAGCAAAAGGGAATGAAGAGATAGGTCGGAAAAGGATAATGGGCGGGGGGGGCGGGGTAAGGAATAAGAATGGGAGGAGAGGTCATTGGAATTCATGACCGTTTCTAGCTTGCTTATCCAGAATAGAGTTACTCAGTAACTACCCTGTAGTAACTCAGTAACTCTTGTAGAAACTCGCACGTCTCCACACCAAGCTTTATCCAACATCTAAATATTTGCATTCGGCATTCCACCGCACCAACAATGGGTCAAAATCGCTAGAATAATACCAATCCACAAGAAAGACAGCAGGAAAAAAAATCCCACCAACGACAGACCGATCTCAATCTCTCCAGTCCTTTCTAAGATCCTTGACCATCACTTTGCCAGCTCCACCGACCTCCAACACCCCGGCCGATATGGCTTCAGACCCCACCTTCGTTGATAACGGCACTCATCAAAGTCTTTGCGGAAGCGTTCAGGTAGACCCAGATCTCTCCGTACGGTGTAAAGATTGTAATTAGTCCAAAAACGTAAAGCCGGGAACCATGAGAGTTCTGTGGTTGGTTTCTGGTTCTCTCATGGTTCCGTGAGGAACCATGAGAGTTTCTCCTTATTTGGCATTCCCATAGGTTTTATGGGGTAATGCCAGATAGGGAGAAACTCGGGCTCAAGGGGTCGGGCACAAGGAACCAATTAACGTTGATTCGATAACATAGGGAAACGATAGGGAATGCTTGGGCGGTTTAGTACGGACTGATTTCAGAGAAGTACTTTATATTCCGGAAAAAGTTCTCACCAATCCTTTCAATGTCTTTCTTGAAGATGTCAATGCCTCCCAACCTGCCATTTCTCCGCGCAGACTCGGCGTCTTGCTAGCGCGCAGACCGTGGTTCTTCATCCTCGCCTCCGTGGCCCTCTCCTCCGGCCTCAGCTCGGGGCTCCTCTTCTGGCGGATGTATAACTCGGAGAACGTGGAGACGTGGTTCCTCCCCGAGGCACCCCTGTACCAGACCGATATGTGGATCCGGGAGAATTTCCCCGAGGGGGTCCGGTACGAGCAGGTGATCGTTGCGGGTCCGAACGTCCTCACGCCTGAATATTTCAAATACGTAAGGGAAAGGTTTCAAATGTGTAAGAGGAATGCTTCAAATATTTGAAATGAATGCTTCTATTGATAGTTTGAGTTTAATGCTTCATAAAAATGAAAAATGTATTTTTCAAATACATGAGAGGAATACCTATGATGTAAAGATAATGCTGAAAACATTTTATAAGGAATATTTCAGATATTGAGAGAACTGCTTCAAATATGTGAGGGGAATGCTTCAAAGTTATGAGAAAAGTCCCTTGAACTTTTGCAGATGGCGGCTCTGGACAGGAAAATTCGATCCGTGGAAGCCGGGGGATTTGCATGGGTGGACGTTTGTGCCAGGTAAATGTTTAATGCTAATAGAACAAAACGACCCAATTTTATAAAATGAGTTTTCTTATTGGAATGAACAAATCAGGCACATACCATCCCTTTTTAATTTGAATGAATATTCCTGCTAACGAATACAGGCCAGACGAATTTCTGGAAGGAAAAATCAAGGAGAAAAGGAGGAAAAGAGGCACCCCGAACCTGTTGAGCCCAGATGAGTCCAGTGTCCACCAGCGTCAAGGTATGTCCGTCAACGGCGAGTAGTTGCATGAGTCTCCATGGGTTCAGTTCACCATTTGATTTAGTTGAGTATATTCATGTTTTGGATTGGTGAAGCCTAAATTTCGTCCTAAATTAAAATATTTATTAATAATTCGTTATTAATTGTTATGAATGAATCATCTGTAATTAATATGAAACCTTCATTATTAAGCATTATTCATCGATATTATCAATGATTCTCTTGTTCAATGAATCTCTAAAGTGATTCACATTATAATTTTCCTTTTGTTTTAGCGGAAGATGGATTTGAGGAAATGTCGCCTACTGAAGCCACAAGTATTCCCTTGCATTGGCAAGAGGTTTCGATGGGCGTTGATTCGACGGGACACGGAGGACTTGAAGGAACGCTAGCGCCGTCGACGACGACTGCAAGATTAAAACGAACAGCAACGACAAAATTATCAACAGCAACTGCCAAAATACTAACTACAGCACCGTTGACAACAATTACTACAACAGTAACAAAAGCGTTATCGTCATCCGCGTCAATGTCAACAGAAAACACAACAACGATAGCAACTGAAGCAACATCAAGAATTGGATATGCAATGCCAGCAGCAGCAAAAACGAAAGCAGCCCAGCCAGAACCAGAAGAAATCACTGGAGAATCCGCGCAATATGACGACTACAGTTATGGTTGGAAAGAGGATTCGAATGAGGACGTTTTTGGAGGAGATGAGAAGGGAAAGGAAAAGATCATGTACGAGGATAAGTGCATCTATTCCAGCTCCCTTCTTCTGTGGGATGAGGATTTCGATTTCAGTGCCATCACCAAGGAAGAGATACGGGATAAAATCACGCGGGCGCTTGATGACGAGTAAGTTTGGCGTTTTTCTCTCAATAACGTCTTGCCGCTTGAGTTTTGATCGCGTTGCTTTTGGCGAGGTTGAGCATTCTCATTCTTGTTAGCCTCATTAATGAGAGAATCGTTTGAGAGATATCGTTGGGGCGAATTGACCTTGGATTGAAATGATGTTGGACAAATTGGCAATAGTAAAAAAATAAGGGAACGACCTAAAATTTCCATTTCAAAATAGAGAAATTCAGGAAACAATATGCCATTCGCTTGCAATTATAGCTTTAGGCCATTTTCGCCACAAACTGGAAGTTTTTGCGGGATTCATCACTCTGAAAATGTGTAGCATATTGTCCAAACACATCATAATAATATGCAGAGGCGAAAAAATTGCTTTATGTGCAATTATTAAATACATTGAGACATGTTTACTAGAAGTGCTTGTTCATGGAACATTGATAATGTGATGCATGGGTATCGCATGACTGTAGGTCGATGAGAGACGTAGACGTGATACTATCGGGCGTGGAGCGTGATGCCGAAGGACGGGTTGTGGGGGCCACGGCCGTCCTGAGCGTCTACATCCTCAAGGACCGGACGAACATTACCAATCTCCAGGGGCAAAGAGTAAGTCGGGTGAATGGCGTTTGATGTTGTTTGTACCGTCACTGGCATGTCTTGGTATCACCCATGCAGACACGGTCATAATATGGAAACCAATATTGTTCTCAAGAGTCTGAGAGTATGTGAAAATCTACTTGGCAAACAACATGAAGTGGTGTCAACAGGGCAAGTAAAATGAAATAGTTTTCAATATAGATACTTAGAAGGTTGGTTTCCTATTACCTTGTAGATCTTTTACTACAAACAGAACTTGGAAAGGGAGCAATGAAAAACGTCCGTACTTGAAACGTTCAACATATGTAATCTCATTATTATTCCAAATTCCAGTAATAGGCATTGAAATTCCTGTGATACGCCGGAATCCAGACACGGTAACCGACATATTTTGAGGATGAGGAGAACTTCCTCTCGAGATTTGGCTGGCACGTGAGACAAATTGCGATAAAATGGAAAATGGCCACTCCTCCATATTCAAATCCTCTGTTAAATATTTTTCCAATGAAAAGCTCGCCGCTCGAAGCAATGCATGACAGCGACCACATTACTGAAATCTTCTTTTTTTTCCCCCCATAAATGTTACAATTTGCACGATGAATCATTCAACATTTCATTCTCAACAGAATGAAATGTTTTTCACCATATCAATTAATTAAATAAGTTCTTGACACGGAAACAAATGACAATGACATTTATTAGTATTGTGTCCGCAGATTGATCCCATCTCTGAGCCGTGGGAGGCGAAGTTCCTCGATGCGATTTTCCACAACGTCATTCCCCGGCCGCTGGGGCTGGAGGTCTACGTCGCCTCCGCGCGCAGGTGCAGCCTCGTTCCTCCAAGTGGATGTTTGGTCCAACTTTCGTGCGACCGGATGCATTGTCCACTTGGATGTTTCATCAGTGCTAGGATGTTTTCTCTAACAGCTACCGGGATGGGATCACGTCCGTGATGGACAACAACACGATTTATTTCGTCCTTGGATTCGTCTTCATCACGATCTACCTGGCTGCCTCCATGGGGAAGTTTAACCTCTTGCAACAAAGGGTGAGTTCAAATTTTCTTTTGCCGAATATGCTTCCTATTACTGGGCTGCCAAGAGATTTATTGATTTACGGACGGATCTTTAAATGTTGCAAGATGCATGAAATCTGCCTGTCATTCCTGAACGAAAGGAAATCCAGGCATGTTAAAATACCGTTGATAATCGCCCAAAGTTGACAAAAAATGGATGAGTGTAAGACGTGTTGATGCTTTCAGATGCCCCAAAACAGAGGATATTTGTATAGGATACAATTTCAGGATCGTAAAGAGATTTTAGCGGCTCTGAGCATAAAATCCAATTCAGAAACGTTACCAATAGAAAGTGAAACTTGAACCAAAAATAAACAGCCAAACGTTTCCATGCATTATGATAGCTAAGGCAAGCATAATTACATTCTACTACATTCTAGTCCTGTTCCAGAAACTAGGAAAGCAGACTTCAGGAACAAAGAATCTTCAAGCTTACAAATTCAAGCTTCCAAGCTTCCAAATTTGTTCAGCTGCCTTCAAGCGTACAATAATTCATACTAAATTGTTGGACTTCTCTGGTGACGAAATTTCATTATTTCTACCAGATCTACCTGGGCTTGGCCACAGTGATGTCCATCGGAATGACCATCTTGAGCGCCTTCGGGGTGTGCCTATACGTCGGACTCTTACCGGCGGAGCTCCATAATTTGATGCCTTTCCTCATCCTGGGGATCGGCATTGACGACACGCTCGTCATCATTCAGGTATCCTCTCATCTTTTGCAACCTTTTTTCAATTCTTGAATTTTTAATTTAAACCTAACTGGATATCTCTGCAATTCGCCATTTTGCCTGAATTGAACGCGAGGTATTTACTTACCGGAGTTACACACATTCGAAAATTGTAAAATGTTAGTATTAAACAGGAACAACTTATTATTATTGGTTTTCCCGACGAATTTCGCCATGTCCTTTAAAATTCGGCAGCTCTCCCGTCTCCTCGCGGTTTTCCCATTCAATTTTGGCAGGTGCTTTTCGATTTCAGTATGCGCCGTTATAATTTCGGCAGCGCACGGAATCTAATGTTTTCTGGTAAACAGGGGCTTGTGACATCTTCGACGTTATAGGTGTTCTTTGATGAGCCCCTTACACATGTACATGTGCTTCACCAGCAGATATCATGGATTATGCTCGACCCCACAAACGAGTCTAAGTCCCAGATTTCTTTGGTAACGCTTACATGGAGTTTCTGGAGGCATAATCTCCATTCTTGAACCCGACAGACCATGCCCACTCTGCATTCGAAGCAGCCGTCAAACTTCTGCCCCTTTCCCGAAACGCAGGCAGAACTTGGACGACGAAGACTAGAGCGAAAATTGCGGCAGAGTCGGACAGAGAAGCTACTTGAAATAGGAGAAGCAGCAGTTGGGCAAATAACCCGTCGGTAGTGCTTTGCGAGGTTTCTACATGCGAAACCATACTTCACCAGATGCCAAAGGAGAGAACGTATCGAAGGTTAGAATCTGTGTCAATAGCCATGTGTTTCCCTTTGCATAATAAAATAATGTCTATTCACTGTAAATACCCAATGCGATTGCGCCTTTTCCTCCCTTACTAGCCAACCCCATATTCATGTTATCTGATCCAAAAAATATGGGATTAACTTGTGCTGCCGAATTTGAAATGACATGTGCCAAAATTCTTCAAGAAAACTTATATTTTGTCTGCTTAGAGCCACTACTAACTGCAAAAGTGCAAAAGTGAATGCTTTCTTTTGTAATTTGGCATGGAATCCTATCATAGCGCATTTCAAAATAGAAGAAGCTTCACTTTGAATCATTCATGAGCGTGCACGGAATGATTTCGATGAAGAGGACAAACCCGATTTGGTGGACACGAAGAGAGGGTGCATGCAGAATTAAAGGAACAGTTTATGGGAATGACAATTTTTCACAGCGGTACAATATATGCTTTAGTCGTCGCTTTCACTTTTCCTCTATCGTGGGAAGAATGTAAGTGTTAGTACAAGTCTAAGAATCGAAAGCTGCGTCCCCTCAGTGCCTGGAGAACGTGGTGAACGCTGGAAGGATCTTGAAAGCGGAGGAGCGCGTCGAGGAGGCACTGAAGCAGGCCGGGGTGTCAATCACCATCACCACGCTCACAGACATCTTTGCCTTCGGCGTTGGAGCCACGACGGTGAGTCGCATGCCTTCTCACTTTCACCTGAAGCATTCTGGTTCCAAACCAAGTCGAGGTCTACATGCTGTGAGTGCGCTTTCCACAAGGAACCTGTACCACAATAAGACTTTTGGAGGAACTAGTGTGCATCGTGTAGTGTGGCGACGGTCAACTTCTTATATTTAAGAGCATGTCCGTATTTAGGGGGGGGGGGGGGTTCGTGGTGTTCAAACCCCTCCAGAAATATCTTCCTTAAATGTTTGCCATGCTGCTATTCGTCGGTGTAAACGGTGCAATACTTGGTCCTCTCTATATTTAATATCTATAGCTTGTAACTTATTAAACACTGCAACTTACAGGAAAATCCAGATTTGTCACAAATATTTACAATGATAAGTATAAAAAAAATAGCCACAGCGAGTACGCCAGACCTCAACCCCCATAACGAATTGAAATCCTAGATACAGCCCTGTTTAAGAGTATAGGTTAGATGACTTGATTTTTCTTGAGCTGGGAAAAGAGGGTCAGATACACGAAGAGGCGTGCAATAGCAATTTCTTTATCGAAAGTTGTCATTGCTTGACCAGAAAATACCGATGCTGAGGAGTTTCTGCATCTTCACGGCCGTTGGGATCTTCATCGTGTACGTCATGAACTTAATATTCATTGTCCTGATTCTGTCGTTGGACGANGGGATTTGTGCAGCGGAAATTTTCTTGCAGGTGGTAGTGGTGCTGGTCACGGTGGGGCTGTTGGGTGTCAACTGTTGGGGATTGTCGGGGTTGACGAATGAATTTGACAGGTCCTGGTTCCTGGATAAGGGGTATTTACGGGAATTCTTGACGGCATTGCAAGAGCTCTTCCCGGAGAGCGGCTACAGGGCGGAATTTTATATCGGTGAGTCTCAGTTGGGAGCAGACGTGATATTGGGACTGGGTGTGATGATGGATGGCTGTGGACAGGGGACGTGGATTATTTCCGGGAGAGGGAGTCGCTGCTGGAGCTGTACAAGAGGCTGGATGGGTTGCCCGGTGTGAGAGACGGCTCAGTGGAGTTTTGGTATAAGGCCTTCATGGAATACCTCAAAGATGAAAAAGGTGAGTATGCTTTGACGTTCAGTCGCTGGGAGCGACTGGAATGTTATGCGTGAGTTGATGTCCTTTTCTGGGATATCGGGTCTTGGAACTTGACGTCCGCTTAAAGGCTTTCTGCATTTGGCAATTCAAAAGAAAAAAATTTTTCATTTGATAATGTTTCGTTAAGGTAGTTCTTTTTTTCTACTCTGGTTTAGACCGTTTCTTTCCACGAGAGTAGTAGGTTATACGATTTTTTTACGTGTGCATGAACGTGATGCGAATGGGGCGCGCTTCTGATTGGGATCACTTAGCCAACCCAGAGAATTCAATTAGCCATGGACAACGTGGAGCTATCATCTGGAACTACGCCGAGAAAGCGGTAAAAGTAAACTGCTGTAGAGAATAATAATGGATAATAACTGAAGAGAAACATGCATTCATGCATCCAGCGGAGAGAGGTGCAGGCTGACGGCTCCGTGTCGAAACACATTAAACAGCCTGAGCTCATTTCACATTCCGCGAACGGAATTAATTCATATCAATTCATTCATATGAATGAATGAGATGAGTTCGTGGAGGCATCTCATGATTTAGGATTTCTCATCAATCTCATCCCCGAACATAAAAAGCGGTTTCCAAGGTCTTTTATCCAAGCTTTGAGTTTACTCTCCCTGTCGCATTAGGGCAAGGAGCATCCCATCTCCCACCTGATCCTGTCGGCTCCTGGAGGGGGACTGTCGACAGCTCTCATCCATCTTAGACCCGCCTGAGCAGCCTTTGAAATCTCTGAAGCCATTATCTAGAAGCTTTTAGCGGTTCATCGATGTAGGCAGATTGGGATGGGTTAATCAGCTTTGTCTATTAAGCTGATGGATGCCATCAAGAAGATTCATGGTGAGCATTTCTTCAGAAATTGTGTTGCTATAGTGAGAGCATGTTAAACTTTCAAGTCCATATCCCCAGTAGTTTGCTCTTGTGCAACAAAGGACTAAGTTTTTCACTCTCGCTTCCAATACACTTATAGTCATATGTGTGGCGAGGCGCTTCTCCCACCCCCCCCCCCACACTCCCCTCTCACCCAATCTTGAAATATGAAATTCGCAAGAGCTTCTGGGTTTGAGCATTCTTCTCATGTCATCGAGTATTCTCTTTTTTTTCCGTTTTCAGAGTACCCGAAAACAGAGGCGGAATTCAAGGACAATGTTTCCACCTTCCTGGTCTTCTCCAAGAAGGGACGGAAGTACCTCCGTGACGTGCAGTACACCGGGAACCTCCTCCTCGACTTCAACATCACTGTGAGTGCATGCGTTGGACGTGAGCCCGTTTGCCGCGCCGAGTAGAGGTGTGCGCGGGGTCCTTCATCTTCTCGAAACGCATGCTAAAAATAGATCAAATCTTTTGGTATGCCCCAGAAACGCCCGTTATAGACGAGGATTATGAAGTTCTGAAGGTCTGTTTTGGTCGGAATTTCGAATGCGTGAAGGGAGAATGGTAGTCATGTCGAAGGACAAGAGTGTAGATGCCATAAAATGTCGATCATGCATAATGTCGAATGGAGTGGAGATCCAAGATAATCCTAGATTACCGACGAAGAGGAAACGTCGATTCATGCGGAATATCGACAGATACGTACGGAAAACCACAGGGTCACTTTCACCTGCCTCGTCCGAAACATCCTGTCTCATGAAGCCTCACCTGGCAGCTTGGCGGCGTCCTTGCAGAGATAATTGAGCCCTTTAAACACGCTCGCGAGTCCTTGATGAAGGCTTCCACGCAAACGCCGTGCGTCACGTGGGTGGCTTCTGTTCTCAATTCTCTCCCCAGACCTTGGTCTACGATGACCGGAATGACATTGACCGGCTGCGTTGACGGTCAAATTTGATGCCAATTATTTTGACCATGATTGCTTTCCCGAAACCCATCTTGCTCTGAAAAATGCTGACTTCATGTGTTCCGACTAATGAACGCATTAAAAGTACTTCTCGACATTTTCTCCATCGACCTTTCCTCCTTTCGAACTTGCTGTATTCCTACTTTGTCTCCATCGACATTATTGCCGTCGACAATTATCGCCATTTCTTCTTTTGACACTCCGAAGCGCACCGACGAAGCTCCGCCATGTTAGGAAGCTTTCAAGTATTTCAGTCCTGAAACTCAAGTTTTAGGATGGCCCATGTACAGATCCTCACGGCTCGTCTCTTCCCGCTGGGAAGAAACGTAAAGGTGTCGTTAACTTCCCTGAGTCTTTAATTCGATGTTGCTGATGATCATGTTCAGGTTGAACCTGTGCTCAACCTCAGAATCTGAGCCAAATACAGCAATATTAATCTATCTGGCAACATACGATACGCCCAACGATGCAAGAAAGAATATTAACGGGAAATTTACAGTACTTCCCATCGATAGACAAAGCGATAGTTTTCAATTCATTTTTTCCCGCACCATGATGTCAGGGTCTCAGATCAGGGTTTCTACCAGTATTTTTTTTTTTTAGAACATATTAAAATCCAGTTTTCCAGACAACAGGTAATCTTTCCAGACAATGTGCCAGCAAGTCGTGATTCATTATTAATTTCAACATCATGTAGAGATTTCTACCACATTCCAGAAGTTTCTCAAAACAGAAAAGAGTATATTTTCTACAGGGTGCAAAGAAGGGTCCAGGTCTTTCTCCAATCTTCTTTGCGTATCGAATTGCTTCACGTCAAACTTTTCAAGCCTAAACTCAAAATTGACTCCTTTTACCGCCTTGTGAGATGCGCTTAGACACATATTAAGGGGCTGCCTCCGCAGACTGAATCTACTTCTGGTTAGGAAAACACATGATGATGGGAGGAGTAGGGAGATTACACGAGGCGCTTCGGCGACCCGGAAGACAAGCAAGGGAATCCGTTTCGCTACCCTCATTCGGGATGGCATTGGGAATCTCTCCCACTCTTCGCTTGGGTGGGAGTCTTCGTGTAACGTCGGTGGCGGTTTTGTTGTTTCTGGCTTTAATGATTGAGTTGAGGGGAGTGATGTGGACGTTCCTCGACTTTCAATGGATTCGAGTGTGTACTTGACACAGATGTCAAGAAGCTTCCACTGAGCTGAAGATGAGGAGGAGGAAGATATTTGCAGATAATGAATGAAAACTCGCCTAGATTCCAACAGAATTCTACCACGAAAAAGCAAGAGAGAAAAAGGTAAGTTCGGCCACCAACGTTAAAGGGGGAACACAGCGACGCGTACAATGTCTATCTGTGGATAACACTCTTACCAATCGAATCCCATGCCAATGCCAAAGGAAGTGAAACCTGTTTTCAAGCGTCAACCATACACCACCAAGATGCAAGTCATTGCAGGTGAAAGGATGAAAACTGATGAGACACGATTGAGACACGTACCATAGATGTAAAGGTAATGTGCTCATGGAATTCGAATTCGAAACGTGTCGGAAGATTCTTCGCGACAGGCGGATCGAGATGAAAAATTCGTCTCTCTTGTTGCCTCCAAAATGAAGCGATTAGCTCTAATATTTAAACCTTTTTTCACCGTGCCAACATCGTTGACAATAGAAAGAGTAGAGTTCCCTGAGACTGTCAATGAAGTCACTATAAAATTGAGAAAGACGGCTAAGTTTGATGGTCTCCTTCATGTTTCCCTTGAGCCAGTGGTATGGGTGTGGATATGTAAGAGACCAGTCCACCCTTGCAGGCCTCGAGGGGAAGGTACCAGCACATCCACTTCAACGATGGGATGGAGAAGCGACGGGGGATCGACGAGGTGGAGGAGGTGCTGCACTCGGTGCGGTTTAGGTTCCGGGATCCCTTCAGGGGATGTCTTGGGCCCGACTATCTTGCAATCAGGAGCAATCAGGCAAGTGATGCTGATCTTTGGTCTAGAAGCGGTGACGTAATTAATGACGTCAGAGTAGTCATAAGGAAGGTGTGTTCTGCAGATTAGAGCCGAGTTCATTCGTTCTTCAGTGGATGATGATAAAGTGTAAGAAAAATGCACTAATTCACGCCTTGACACTTGGTAATTGAAATACCTTTTTTTTTATGAAATAACCAATTTTTTCCCTTGGAAGTCTGTCTTATAGAGCATGCTTTTCACTAGCATCTGACTTTGATACCTCATATAATCACCCAATGCATGCAATTAGTACAACTCGATGAAAATGAAAGTTAATTTATCTCACCTCGGTAGAGGATGCTAGCGAAATCTATATAATAATCTGGGGGTTTTCTGCTTACCCAGATACCATTCAGACGAACGCCCTAGTTTTTCTTACAAGGTGAAATTATCGGGTAACTTCTAGCGGATTTCCCTCTGTCCAATTGATCTGCCCCCTCAGAGTGCAATCACGGACACGCCCCGACAAATTCCACGTAGTTTCTATGTAGTCCAAGTATCAGAACTTGAGTTGGAAACTTCTGCATTCTGAAAGGAAGCCTGCAATCGGGAGACATAACCCATCTGGAATATCTACCTTGTACAACGAATGGGCTTGGGAATTGGCGCTCCAAAAATTGTTGCAAAGCTAGGAGAGGACCAAGCGAGAGGATAGAAAGAGACAGTCCTGACATTCGCTGCTTACAGGTTGTATCCGAGGAGCTGATAAAGAACCTCGGCCTGACGCTGGCCGGAGTATTCGTGGTGGTCCTCTTGATGGTGGGGGATCTGCGCGTCTCCCTCTGGGTCTTCACCTGCATCCTCTTCACCTTGATCGGGATAGCGGGGGGAATCCGCTTTGCTGGGCTCACTGTGGAGATCATGACCTCAATCCTCATGATCTTGTCTGTCGGGTTGGCCGTGGATTATTCCACCCATATCGCGCATAAGTTTATGGTCACGTACAGCGATTCAAAGGATGGTAGGTTCTCCTTCGACTTCAAAGCTGAATGAAGTTAAGAAATAATTAAACACGTGATTTGAATGTTTCTAGCACGAGTAAGAATCACGTTAACAGAAATAGGCCCGCCTGTTTTCAAAGGGGGCCTTACTACGATGATGGCCTTCATGTTTTGTTTTTGGAGCACCAATTATCTCTTCAAAGTTACTCTCACGGTCAGTTTCTACACACATTCATATATTCGTTGATTTTAAATCGCGCGCAGGATATTATTGTTTTTATTTTATTGTATGGTAGGTAATTTGGCTCTCGGTGATATATGGGCTTTACCACGGTTTGATCTACCTGCCTGTGATGTTGAGCTGGTTTGGCCATGATCCTTTTGTTGATATAATGCCTTCAATGAAAAACAGTACTTCCACGGATGTTCTTGAAATGAATCTTGAAGATACGGAGGAAGGCAAACTTCCCATTGTCCCGACGAAGAATTACTCAACCATTTCGGTAGGTTTGTGAATTGAAAATTTCGCCTACCGTAGCATTCCATTGCAACGATGAGTGGAAATATGAAGGATCTTTAATTGCCAAACCCACATGGTACATGAGCACCCGGAATTCATGGAAACATCGCTCAGAATTTTTGTAGAACGCCGCGCGATGTGATGGCTGAATTTTCCTTTCGGCAGAGTTAGGAGACTAAAACCAACCAACACCCGACCCGTTTCCAAGAGTTTCAGGAGATCCCTACGATGCGAGGTCGAATCGAATCTTTTCCTCGGATAAAAATTATTTGAATTAAAGCAATATAAAATGTACTCCTTGATTTTCTGAGGATTAGGAGGATACGAAGAGGAAATATTTATTATTTCTTTGCGTCTCCTTCTGCAGACATCAGCAAGGTCCTGTTTCTTGATGTGCGAGTAATTGATAGGTTAGGAGGTACATGCGAGCGTGCTTTGCAGATTTGGAGTTTTTTGTGGGTACTGCTGCAAGATACTGAAAAAATTCATTGACGGTTTTTACCTTTCAGTGGAAAGTCCTTTGGAAGAAGAGCAAGGGAGAGTATCCGATGGGGAGCGAACCAGGTCATCCACAGCTGGAGGTTGCTGGAGGACACGAGTCCTCTCTCAAGATCGACAGGAAGGAGGGCTGCGCGGTGGCGTCGTACCGCCAGCGACGGGGTAGTCAGGCTTGAATGGGCTCTGATTGCTCTGATTTGCTTCGTATCCTGGATGTTCGTTTGTCTGGTGATCCATCCTTTGGCTGTTGATGCGCTCAAGCGTGATTCGGGATGAGACCTTCTTTTTTCGAATTTCTGGTTGTGGATGTGCAGTGTTCGTGAACAGTAATGCCTTCTGAAGGTCAGCTTCTTTACGTCGCGTTGAAGCAGTTGTTGCTGCATTCCAGCCAATCTCTGGGAAACTTCCAATGGAAACGGCGGACCTGGTCCTCAATCTGGTCCGGCAGCACCAACCATGAAGCTAATATGCGAAATTCATTGCTTTAATGTGTCTGTCATTGTTTTTCTATGTCACGGACACGACCTCCATTCGATCAGAACACTTGCTGAAGGAAGTTTCTTGTGTACTTGATCAAATACCTACACAAGCCAGACACAAGATAAAAAAACATGAATCACAAGGGTTTCTCATCAGTCATGACAAAGTCTGTCGTTAAGGAATTAAATGGGCGGGGATGGATTGGGGAAGGATGATATTGGGGAATCGCTCTTGGTTTATGCATTATTCTAATAAAACTGAGATTCCAAAACCATTCCCATTGTCTTGTTACATTACCAACCATTCATTATATTCTATGCATCCAGAGCAGGAGATGAAGTTGCTGTAACGATATTAAAAGCTATTTCAATGCTTTTTTTGAGGATTCTCTTCCATTACTCTCTCCGGACTACCTTCTCTTTATGCGGGACTTCCCGCATGGAATCGCACTCCTTCATCTTGTCGTGTTCTTTTGGGCGCACATAACCGCAATGAATAAGCGGAGGATCGACTGTACCCCACGCGACCAGTAAAGGATTTCGATTCAATTTTTTTTTGTTCTTTTCGTCCATCGATCTTGACCTGACGAGCCCCAATTTTTTTCCTTATCATTGCGAACACGACAACGTACTCGATCCAATATCCACGAATCGGCCCGTTTGCCCTTGGAACAAGTCGAGTGAGACTTGGGAACCCATGACAGTGACCATGACCTTAAGGGCTACGATGCGACTCCAACGTTGGAATATTTTTGCTTCCTTTATTTCCTTGGCGAGCAAGGCGAAGGAGGAATTTCTTTTTTCATACCACCCACAAAAACAACGATTTTCGTAATTGTTGCTACAATGTGAATGTTATAATTAATAATTTACCTAATTTTATTGTTTACTTCTTTGCATATATTTGCATTCAATTTTAATAATTTTTCACATATGTCTATTACATTGAAGATGTGAACTCAAAGTCGAAGTTTCTCTGCAGCATCTGGATGCATCGTGGTTAAATTTCACCTAATACGAAAACTAACGCGATTAAGATCTAGTTGATTCGAAGAGAAGTCACCTTCAATGGAAGGCAGTCCTGTGCCCTATCATGTAACTGTGTCATGTCACCTAACATACTCGCAGAGAAGAACCCTGGAAGTCTCCCATGTTTTGTCATTCGCGTCGCAGCTTGGTTCCACGTGGACATCGCCGTGCGCAAGACAGTTCTGCCTGATCTGTAAGTACCGGACGCTGTACTATCTGTTATATCTGTATTAAGATATAATCTGTTATCTATGTTATATCTGCCCGATCTGTATTAAGTACTGGGTACTGTACTAGGTATTAAGTACTGGGTGCTGTACTGGGTATTAAGTACTGGGTACTGTACTAGGTATTAAGTACTGGGTACTGTACTAGGTATTAAGTACTGGGTACTATACTAGGTATTAAGTACTGGGTACTGTACTAGGTATTAAGTACTGGGTACTGTACTAGGTATTAAGTACTGGGTACTGGTGTTGGACGGGCGCATCGATTCTGCAAATTCAAGTCTCGGATGCCGTTAATTAACGATCCTTGTGGAAGACGCAGACTACGATGGGGAAAAGGGCCCATCAGCTTATGTAACGAGTTATCACTTAAGTGTTTTGAATCCAAAACCGTTAATTTCCTAACGTTGATCAATAGAAAAGCCTTATGTACCACTGCAACTGATCTAATTCGTAGGAGGTTGTAGAATTTACCGCAAGGGCGATAACCAGACTCCATTGATGGTTTGATGGGAACCCAAAAAAATTTTAACAAAAATGAGGAAGCACCGATTTTGTCACGTAGGTTGTATTTCAGGCGGTCATGGGATTGTGGAATCACAGAGCGCACATATGACCACAGTTATGACGCGGTTCAGTGTCGGCACATCCCAAGATCTCGAACCGCTAAATAGCATGAGATGAAGATTGCGAAAGTTAAAGCGAAATTAAGGAGCATTTCCTTGGCTCAACTTTTGAATATACAACAACGTAGCACTTGGCTGAATAATGAAGAACCGTTCGAAACGTTTCAAAGACCGATTTTTCTCTATACGTCTCTATACCAACTCTTATCCAGCTTCTAAATATTTGCATTCGGCATTCCACCGTCCCAGCAATGGATCCAAATCGCTAGAATAATACCTATCCACAAGAAAGACAGCAGGCAGAAATCCCACCAACGACAGACCGATCTCAATATCTCCAGTCGTTTCTCAGTGTTTTTAAATGCAATATTTGGAATTGTCCGGTTATGTGCATTCATAGGGAGAAATGTTGAAAATTTTTTGAGAGACTCTCGTATATTCAGCAGTATTTAATCACTCGGTTCCTTCGACCTGCAGGTCAATATACAAACTAGTCTCGTGCTCGTCCGCGGTGGTGCTTCAGAAAAAGTAATGGAATTCATAAACTACTTCCACCATCTAAAGTAAGGATAGGAAAGCTGGCAATTTCTAGAGGAACCATCCGATTCGCTATGTTTCCCCCTCAAACTGAGATCTTCATGCCAGCAACTAGCGACTCGGGTCATCAACTAAGGGAGTTTCGACCTGGCTGGATTGATCGGGCACAAGGAACCAATTAACGTTGATTCGATAACGATAGGGAAACGATAGGGAATGCTTTTTGCGGTTTAGTACGGACTGATTTCAGAGAAGTACCTCGTATATTCCGGAAAAAGTTCTCACCAATCCTGTCAATGTCTTTCTTGAAGATGTCAATGCCTCCCAACCTGCCATTTCTCCGCGCAGACTTGGCCTCTTGCTAGCGCGCAAGCGTGTTTCTTCATTCTCGCCTCCGTGGCCCTCTCCTCGGGCCTCAGCTCGGGGCTCCTCTTCTGACGGATTTACAACTCGGAGATCGTGGAGACGTGGTTCCTCCCCGAGGCACCCCTGTACCAGACGGATATGTGGATCCAGGAGAATTTCCCCGAGGGGGTCCGGTACGAGCAGGTCATCGTGGCGGGTCCGACCGTCCTCACGCCTGAATATTTCAAATACGTAAGAGAAAGGTTTCAAATATGCAAGAGAAATGTTTCAAATGTGTAGGAGGAGTGCTTCAAATATTTGAACATAATGCTTCTATTTTGAGGTTAATTCATATATAAGAGGGATTCTTGAAATACGTGAGAGGAACACCTATGATGTGAAAAGAATGGTAAAAACATTTGCAAGAAATGTTTTAAATAATGAGAAGAATGCTTCAAATATGCGAGGGGAATGCTTCAAATTTGTGAGGAAAGTCCTTCGAACTTGTAACGGGAATGTTTAGAATATGCGAGAGAAGTGTTGCATTCATATGCTTCAACTGAGTGGCCAGCATCAATGATGACGATTTGCAGGAGAAGGTCTCACCCCGAGTCTTTTGCAGATGGCGGCTCTGGACAGGAAAATTCGATCCGTGGAAGCCGGGGGATTTGCATGGGTGGACGTTTGTGCCAGGTAAATGTTAAATACTAATAAAAGAAAAGAACCCATTAAAAAAAAAAGAGTTCTCTTATTGGAATGAACAAAATCAGGCACATACCTTGCCTTTTTAATTTGAATGAATATTCCTGCTAACGCATACTGGCCAGACGAATTTCTGGAAGGAAAAATCAAGGGGAAAAGGAAGAAAAGAGACACCCCGAACCTGTTGAGCCCAGATGAGTCCAGTGTCCACCAGCGTCAAGGTATGTCCGTCAACGGCGAGTAGTTGCATGAGTCTCCATGGATTCAGTTCACCATTTGATTTAGTATATTCCTGTATTGGACTGGTGAAGCCTCTAGAAAGCACTTGAAATTCGTTTGCTCGGGATTTTTTGCAACTCATACGTGAGCATTCCGCTGTGTTATAAATTGTCTTTTTTTTTTAAATTATTGCCTGTGGCTCTGTAATGGGGAGAAATTGTTGCCGTTCGGCAAGTTGAAATGTTTCACCAGTCGTGTTGGTCTTTTGGGGCCAATTCACAGAACGTGTGGAATCCTGCCCCTCTGCTTTCGATGGAGGTAAATCTGACGCTGACGAAATGCTCCAAGGAGAAAAACTTGCGACGTGACTTTCGAATCCTCCACTATTTATTGGCATTTTTTCTATACTTTCATTCTGCAAGGATTGTTTTAAGGATTATTTCCATCTCATTATTTTCAAAGAGAAGCAACGCATGACGGCGGCCACATTACTGAAATCTCCATTTCCCCCCCATAATTTTGACAGTTTGTACGATGAATCTTTCAACATTTCATTCTCAACAGAATGAAATGTTTTTCACCATATAAATTAATTAAATAAATTCTTGACACGGAAACAAATCAAAATGACATTTATTAGTATTATGTCCGCAGATTGATCCCATCTCTGAGCCGTGGGAGTCAAGGTTCCTCGATGCGATTTTCCACAACGTCCTTCACTGGCCGCTCGGGCTGGAGGTCTACGTCGCCTCTGCGCGCAGGTGCAACCTCGTTCCTCCAAATGGATGTTTGGTCCTAGTTTCGCGCGAGCGGATGTGTCGTCCACTTGGATATTTCATCAGTGCTAGGATGTTTTCCCTAACAGCTACCGGGATGGGATCACGGCCGTGATAGACAACAACAGGAATTATTTCGTCCTTGGGTTCGTCTTCATCACGATCTACCTGGCTGCTTCCATGGGGAAGTTTAACCTCTTGCAACAAAGGGTGAGTTCAAATTTTCTTTTGCTGAATATGCTTCCTATTACTGGGCTGCCAAGAGATTTCTTGATTTAAATCTTTAAATGTTGCAAGAGGCATGAAATGTGCCTGTCATTTCTGAACGAAAGGAATTTCAGGCATGTTAAAATACCGTTGATAATCACCCGAAGTTGACAAAAAAAATGGATAAGTATAAGACGTGTTGATGCTTTCAGATACCCCAAAACAGAGGATATTTGTATAGGATACAATTTCAGGATCGTAAAGAGATTTTAGCGGCTCTGAGTATAAAATCCAATTCAGAAACGTTACCAATAGAAAGTGAAACTTGAACCAAAAATAAACATCCAAACGTTTCCATGCATTATGATAGCTAAGGCAAGCATAATTACATTCTACTACATTCTAGTTCTATTCCAGAATCTAGAAAAGCAGACTTCAGGAACAAAGAATCTCCTGAAAAAGATTTCAATCTTCCAAATTTGTTTTGCTGCCTTCAAGCGTACAATAATTTATACTAAATTGTTGGACTTCTCTGGTGACGAAATTTCACTATTTCTACTAGATCTACTTGGGCTTGGCCACAGTGATGTCCATCGGAATGACCATCTTGAGCGCGTTCGGGGCGTGCCTATACGTCGGACTCTTACCGGCGGAGCTCCATAATTTGATGCCTTTCCTCATCCTGGGGATCGGCATTGACGACACGCTCGTCAGCATTCAGGCATCCTCTCATCTTCTGCAACCTTTCTTTCAATTCCTGAATATTTAATTTAAACCTAATTGGATATCTCTGCAATTCGCCATTTTGCCTGAATTGAACGCCAGGTATTCACTTACCGGAGTTACACACATTCGAAAATTGTAAAATGTTAGTATTAAACAGGAACAACTCATTATTATTAGTTTTCCCGACGAATTTCGCCATGTCCTTTAAAATTCGGCAGCGCTCCCGTCCCCTCGCGGTTTTCCCATTCAATTTTGGCATGTGCCTTTCGATTTCAGCATGCGCCGTTATAATTTCGGCAGCGCACGGAATCTAATGTTTTCTGGTAAACAGGGGCTTGTGACATCTTCGACGTTACAGGTGTTCTTTGATGAGCTCCTTACACATGTACACGTGCTTCAACAGCAGATCTCATCATGGATTATGCTCGACCCCACAAACGAGTCTAAGTCCCAGATGACATAGGTAACGCTTACATGGAGTTTCTGGAGGCATAATCTTCATTCTTGAACCCGACAGACCATGCCCACTCTGCATTCGAGGCAGCCGTCAAACGTCTGCCCCTTTCCCGAAACGCAGGTAGAACTTGGACGACGAAGACTAGAGCGAAAATTGCGGCAGAGTCGGACAGAGAAGCTACTTGAAATAGGAGAGGCAGCAGTTGGGCAAATAATGCGTCGGTAGTGCTTTGCGAGGTTTCTACATGCAAAACCATACTGGACAAGATGCCAAAGGGGAGAACGTATCGAATGTTAGTATCAGTGTCAATTGCCATGTGTTTCCCATTGCACAATTAAATTATGATTATTCACTGTAAATACCCTATGCGATCGTGCCCTTTTCTTCCTTACTTGGGAACCCCATATTCATGTTATCTGATCCAAAAAATATGGGATTAACTTGTGCTGCCGAATTTGAAATGACTTGTGCCAAACTTCGTTGAGAAAACTTATATAATATTTTTGTCTGCTCAGAGTCACTGCTAACTGCATTCAATGTTTTCTTGTAATTTGCCATTCAGTCCTATCATCGCGCATTTCAATTTAGAAGATGCTCCACTTCAAATTATTAATGAGATGAGCGTTCACGGAATGCTTTCGATGAAGAAGACAAATCCGATTTGGTGGACACGAGGAGAGGGTGCATGCAGAATTAAAGGAACAGTTTATGGGAATGACAATTTTGCACAGCGGTACAATATCAGCTTTAGTCGTCGCTTTCACTTTTCCTCTTTCGTGGGAAGAATGTAAGTGTTAGTACAAGTCTAAGAATCGAAAGCTGCGTCCCCTCAGTGCCTGGAGAACGTGGTGAACGCAGGAGGGATCTTGAAGGCGGAGGAGCGCGTCGGGGAGGCACTAAAGCAGGCCGGGGTGTCAATCACCATCACCACGCTCACAGACATCATTGCCTTCGGCGTTGGTGCAACGACGGTGAGTCGCCTGCCTGATCTTTTTCATCTGAAGTATTCTGGTTCCAAATCAAGTCGAGGTCTACATGCTGTGAGTGCGCTTTCCAGAAGGAACCCGTACCGCAATGAGACTTTACCTTTCTTTCCCTGTGGATGATTAGAATTTTGCACATTTGTTCCTTCGCATCCGGGAATTTATATAGAACAAAATTTGCTCCGTTTTCCTCATCATTGCGGAAAAAAAGTTAAAATTTACCAGTGGAAATGAAAACGCGGTAAAAAAAAATAAAGGGCAAGGACATGGAAACGACATAGGGTCAACTCTCGACAAACCGCTACTGTTGTTCTTCGTCGATTTTGGCGCATAATCGAGAAGCGCGGCTTTAAAACGGAAAATTTCAGAAATAACTCAAATGTAAAATATAATAAAATTGGCAAAAATGAGCAAAGAATTAGCAAAAAAATCCACTTTAATTCAACCATAATGAACGAACTTGAACAACCGTCTTGAGGAACTTTGAACTGAAAGAGGCTTTCTTTCTTTCGTAAAGGAGAGGCAGGATTAGGTTAATCCTGCCTCTAATCCCTGGCGTCATCCCTCACGTTATAAAACGATCAAGAGGAAAGGCCGAGAGCCTGTCCTTTTTTTTTGCCACCACGAAAATGCTGCTTGGCGCTACATTGCTGACTGTACCTGCCTCCAATTTAGAAATTTTGCTAGCTTGGAGAAGTCTGGAGACTTTTTGAAAATTGTGACTTCTGTCAGAAACAAGTTGGAGTTTAGCAAAAAAAGTGTGGCGCTGGGCGTGCTCATCGATCCAATGAGACAACAGATTGATTGAATTATTAATTGGTTTCAAAGACTTGGATAATTAGTGCCAATATGTTGAATCTGAATCGAAAGCATCAGAGGAATGACAAATGTTCCTCGGAGGTTCATTTTGTCTAATTTTTCTGTTGTGTCTGTTTTGTCTGTTTTTTCTGTTTTGTCTATTTTGTCTGTTTTGTCTGTTTTGTCTGTTTTGTCTGTTTTGTCTATTTTGTCTGTTTTGTCTGTTTTGTCCATTTTTTTGGTACACGTCTTTGTAAGAATATTTTGAATATGCTGATAGCTCCAATGTTTTGTCTTATCGAAAATTTTTTTTCGGAGTTATCAATTAGAGTGGAGAAACATAACATGGAAAGCATTTGTAAAAAAAAAATTGAGTAGATGAATGGAGTCGAACAAGCCACAATTGCAAAGTGGGAGAAGTATTGGAATTGGCGCACCGTAAAAAAAAAAACATAATGGTTCAGGCTGGAACTCTTCAATGGTTCTACACCCTCAAAAAGGTTCCAGGTACTGTATCAGGGTGTCCCATATGTTTTTTGGATTATTTTGAAACCATTCTAATTCTGCGCTCATTTTTCGCAAAGGTTTGAAATAGATGGAGAGACGTGGTGGAACACGATGGCGACTATATTGATGATTCATGTTGATTGTTGGTGTCAGAGGATAAGAATATGTAGAAAAATGGAAAACCCAAAAAACATATGGGACACCCTGATAGAACCATATGAATTGGTTCCAGCACAGCTGTAGAACCATATGAAACCCCATCGCTCTTGTAGAACCTCTGGAACTGGCCATTGGTTCTAGGTACAACCATTTCTTGCGCTTTCTAAAAATGGTTCGAAAAAGGATTCCCTTCAGGGCTAGATATGTGGAAAAATATTATATTTAAATAAAATCACGTAGATAAATATGATATTTTTCGCCATTCGCTCAGAACTCCCCCCCCTCCCTCCCTCCTCATTCTTTTTCTTTTTTAAAAATAGGTTTTACCAATCGGCGGCAGATGGCGCCTAAGCGCCGACTTAGCGATTCTCACCCTACTGCCACAGGAATGAATCCCCTGTATTTTTGAACACAGTACCCGATATTTTCCCTGTACAACTTAAGGGAAGGCTTTGGAATTCCCAAAAAGACTCATTGAAGGAGGTAACCCGGTAGAAGGAGACTCCAAATACCACTGACCAGGGAGTCTGAAGAGACATTCTCAATTTTCCTAAGTCGCGGCGCTTATGGAGCGTGAAAACCGACTGCGGGGAAAATGTCTAGCTCCTCCTCTAGAATCAAATCAAACCGGGGATTTTGCTAGACGTGTAGTTCCTTTGCTGGACAGAAAGAGTTGCGTACTAAACTCTAATTTAGAGCTGGTGAAGGTAATACAACCTCAGCGGGACTCCTCCGGGACATTAGTACTCGAAAGAGTACTATTAAATCTCTGAGACCCTCTGCGGGATGACAGTACTTAAAAGAGTACCCAGGTATAAAGTTCAGATCCAAAAAAGTGGAGGAGGTACTGCAATGCCCAAACGTTGAGAAATGAACCTTTGTTCAAAGTTGACACAACGTTGTTTGGCCGAATGGTGATGGTTCTGTGTGGAACTATGTTTTTAATGAAAGGGTTTTAAGTGACACCTTTTGTAAAGGTTAAAGGCACCTTTTGTAAAGGTGCTACATGCAACCTTCATAGGTGGTTCTCTATGGAACCATTAAATGGTTCCAAGAAAGTTTCACTGTAGAACCAGTAAAGAGTTCCAGGGAGAACCATTATTTTTTACTAAGGTCGCGCCTTCGGCGCCCCTTTACTTTGTATAGTGATTAATTCATTAATTCATTAATTCATTCATTTTTTGCGAAATGGGAACACGTATTTGAAGTACGTCCCCATTGAAATACGTGACATATCGGGTCGAAAGTCTTGATTTTGATCAAAATCAATACTTATATGATTCTATGTGTGCCTAACTTTAACCTTTTTCTTGGGTCCCATTTTGTAAGTCATTTTGAAATATTTCCCTCCAATAATCTACGCTAAGGAGATATAATTCAAAATTAGGATTTTTTCTCTACTCAGCCATTAAACAGATACTTCTGTGGTAGATTGTATTTTTTAGTCTCTGTTTTATTGGATCAAGAAAAATTCAGAAAAATGGGACTGAAAAAAGTTCCCTGATGAGTTTTAAAGAAAATTTGGTTTCTTTTGAAATGTTGACTCAGGGAACTCCATGCCACCCAGTTTCAGCCTTATACGTTTTTGCTGGCGGAAAAAAAATATCGTTTAAAGAGACCCACTCAAAAGCTGTGCTTTGAGGAGACGCACAACAAAAGCTGAATTTTTCCTTAATTTTTTACATTTTAATTTTAATTTTAATTTTAATTTTCCTTAATTTTTCCATCACGTCCGTTATCCGTGCGCCCGCTACTTTTCTACTTCTGCCAGATTCGGTAGGAAATGAAAAATTCTTTGAAAACGTTACGTCCCCAAGAAATATGAACCCCAAAAATATTTTGGAAATTTGACGTTCGACATTTGAGCTCAGTGCGTCATCGGTCACGTTCTTGCCAAGTTTCAGCTTTCCACGTGTCAAATAAAACTATTTGAAAATATGTTCCCCGAAAAGGTGTGCCCCATTGGCAAGCATCACCAAAGTAGTATCTTTCCTGGACTCAGCATGCGAATAGCTACTTATGTCAGTCAGTCAGCTACTCACGATCGTCTATGTATAATAAAAGTAGAATTTTTTCTTTACTCAGCTATCCATCAGGTACTTCTTTGCCAAATTTAAACTTTCTAGCGCCCTATGTTTTCCTGATCAGAAAATTCGGGAAAATGCGCCTTTTGCAAAATATGTACCCTGAGCCGTTTTAACCGAAAAGTATCTTTTTTTTTTTTTTTTTACCAAATCCATCCTCGGTGAACTACATACCCACAAAGTTTCAATATTATACATATGCGCTTTCCGCTGGTGAAAAAGCATGTTTGGAATAACCGACCCACCCAAAAGCTATGCCCTGAGGGGATGAACCATGAAAGCTGAATACTCCCTCAACTCAGTAATATCATGTCACTTAAACGTGTGCCAAGTTTCACTTTTCCATTTCTGTCCAATTCGCCACGACAATTTTTTTTCCAAACATCGCACCTCGAAAAAATTCCCTCAGGAGATGTATCGAGACTTAACATTTTTATTTAACTCCTTGTCCCAGTTGTCACCTTCATGCAAAGTTTCAGCTTTCCATGTCACTCCGTTTTACTGAAGCAAAAATAATGTTACGGAGGGGGAATGAGTAACGGGACATGGAAGGCAAAAAAAGCCAAAAAAAAGCCTAGGAATGGCCGAGAATTGAACACAGATCTTTTAATTGCCAGTCAGATATGCTACTACTACACCACCGAACCCTGCACATCCAGGGCTTGAACCTCCAATTTGGAATTTTTTCTGAACTCTACATCCCAAAAGGCACATCTCTACCAAGTTTCAGATGTCTAACCCTTCTAGAACATGGTTAGAATTAGCGTCAATCAATCAGTCAGTCACGATCGTCTATATATATTAGACAGTGTCGGATTTCTCTTCATCGGCTTATCCTTCGGCTTATCCTCCAGCTTATCCTCCAGCCTAGCAACTGCGCTTGAATTACATGCACAATGCCAATTCACTTCTGCCATTTTTAAAACCTGCGGGGAAAAAAATCGGCGAGTCACAAACGGCGAAAAGAGAGGACCGGTCACGAGCAAACCGGCTAACTGGTCTCTGACAAATTTCAAACTGAAACATTTTTCTTTTGGGATCTTAAGAAAAGGAACCTTATCGGTGATTTACCAGTCGAATTAGGACAGATCAGATTTTTACTTTGAAAATCTGCAAAATGCAGATTGCCCTGCGAATCGTATCCGAATCCGGGATTACAATTATAACCGTCTGGTTCTAGAAGCGCAATCTGGGCAATTACAGGGCAATTACGACGCGGTTCGGTGCCGACTCACCCAGCAATCCCGCCTTGATGAATGGCCAATCGAAGCCGCGAAAATTGGAGCGAAATTGGGGAGAAATTTTCATCTTCGACGTTCAGTCCCGTCACGTACCGCCGATAAGTACTGGAGCCGATCTCCATGATAATGTAGAGGGCTGACCCCTTTGCCCTTGAGGGAGGCCGTGACTGGCCTTGGAGGGATGCGATGCGGCTTGACGGTTGCTTCAGCGTTTCAGAAATGCCTAGGCGAATTTCTGCAGTCGCTAATTCCTCGTCGGGAAATAGATATCGAAGGAAAGCGAAACAGAAGAAATTTATTTTCATACGACCCAAGAAACAAGCTTAACATGAAACTGGGGGTTTCTGTATGCAACTGGATAGTTCCAGAATGGCGAGAGGGAGCTTGGTGTATGCCACCTGCGATCGCGGACGCACCGCAAAGGAACTTGGTGGATGTGACCTGCGATCACGGACGCAAAGATAGGGAACTTGGTGGATGCAACCTACAATCACAGACGCAAAGATAGGGAACTTGGTTTATGCAATCTGCGATCGCGGACGCAAATATAGGGATTTTAGTTTATGCAACCTGCGATAGCAGACGGAGAAGGAAAATCGGAATCCCAAGGAAAGACTTGGATTTCCATCGTCACTCGAGAGCGTCCGCAATTAAGTCTGAGTCACGAGGTATGAAGTCAGAGAAAAATGACAATCTAATTCTGATTTAATTGAACGGAGATGATGAGCTTTCAGTTAAATCGGGTGCGACTTACGTAACATTCTCAGTGGAGGACGGAACCCTGCAGACCTCCTTAGTGCTAGTCTATCGCTGTGTGCTTCTGAGTACTGATTGAGTACCGAGGGAGTACTGAGGGAGTACTGGTGCTTGATAGCTGCAGGTGTTGCATGGACCGGTGCGGACTGACCTCGTAACTCTAAAAGTTTGAGGACCGATTTAATTTCCCTGGCAACTTCGACCTGTGCCGCCGGTATGTAAAATTAACCCTTTCAGACCTGAATTAAGCCCGCTATCGGAATAATATCTTTTTTTTTGCATTTTTGAGCTCTTTCGTGATTGTAATTGTAATTTTTGTGCTTTATAGGTAGTTTTCATATTTTGTATGAATTTACCATATCATACCATATATTATATATGATACATATAATTGAATAACTGAAGATTAGAAAACTAATGGGCGAAAGAAGGCCTCTGATGGAGCTGAGCCATGCATAATTGCGCCCATTGTGGTGTAATATGAAGGGCAAATGCTAATCCTAATCCTAAGAGAATCCTAAGAAGTTGCCATCGACACAATTCAACAACGTCCATTGGAATGGTCGCCGTGTCGGAGAGGATGGAACAACTGCAAGGCGGTCGAAGGCCGTGTTTTAGGAGGCTTAGCTTTGATTCGTCATTCCCGAAAATTGGCTGGCTTTTCTCGACGTCTCGGCTGGATACCGAAGAATAGTGCAGTTGCGGGGTCATAAGTGATAAGATTCTTGCTTGTCTCGGATGTTGAACCTGTGCATTTTCCTGTTGGGGGAGGGGGTCTTGGCCCGCCCTTGGCCCTCCCTTGGCCCACCCTAGTTACGTCTCAGTTGAGAATGAATTGCATCAAATATTGTTTACATGCCAATTACAAATTTTACTGGTTTTTCAAGCAGGTAGGACGAGACGTGAGCATCGAAGTGTGTTGTGTAAACCGAATATAAACCGGAAATAAACCGGAAGTGCCACAGCATCCCGAAACCGCATCTCCTCCAAGCATCCCGAAAATGGGTCAAGACTTGATGCGAAGAATCAGCCGTCGCATCCACGGCGTCTCCGAGTCCCTTTTCCACAAGTAAGTCCATGTCCAAGCAGATTAATCTCAAGCAAACCAAGCTCAAGCCAACCAAGCTTAAGCAGGTAGATCCGATGATGAGGTCATGAGGGAACGAATGGTTTCCTGAAAACTCATTTTCTTTCGTTGGGCATTTATCATATAGGATCATTTCCCTCTTCCCGCGAAAAAATGGATCCAGAAATTAGCTTGGACTGGAAATTTCCTCCCATCAGTGCGCTTAATATCTAAAGAAATTTGTATTCTCTTCCAAACTTTCGGTATGATGCGGTAAATTGTTGAGATAATTCGGTTTATAAATTTGGAAAGCACAACATATCATGATGGAACAAATTTTTTACTTTTTATTTTGTGAGCAAGTGAATCGTTGTTTCAAGATTAAATTCACATACGTTGGAAAGGAGCAATGGGGGGGAAAAAGCTATCGTTTTTGACGAGTTGTCAATCTGATTGCAGGCTGCCGATTCGGATGAAATTCGGTAGGCATATAGTGTGACTCAATTAGGATCAGCGTGTCAAGTTTCAAATAAGAGTAAAAAAAAACTGTGAAGTTGGCATTTAATTTACTTTTCATCGCCAAAAAAGTAAGTGCTCTTATTCTTTAAGCTTAACATTTTTAAAAACTGACAAGAACAAAAAACAAACAGAACAAAAAAAAACAATTGCACAAATGCCAAAAAAGGAACACAATTCGGTTCAGGGACGTTCATTTCAACTGAAAAGGTGCACCTTTCAACTGAAACTGAAAAGGACGCCACAGAACCTTCGAGGCCGGGCCTCCCTTCCATCCCGCCCGAAAATTCGATATCGATATTTTCGACAGCAAATTTTGCCATTGGTCATCGGGAAAGAGGTGCAGCTCCTATCATTTTATAGCCATCCAATTGTAATCAGGAAAATGCCCAGAATACAGGGAAAATAATATGTGCTAACAAATAGAAAAAAAAGGGGGAGTGGGGAATAAATGTCAACTAGGAGTGAAGGCGCGTGAGGTAAAAATGATAACAGTGGTTAATTAAAATTAGAAAAATATTGGAATAGGGGTTACGAAAAGGGGGCAAAAGGATGAAACACAAACTAGGGTTGTCTCACGACAGAAGCAAAAGGGAATAAAAAGATGAGTCGGAAAAAGATAATTGGGGGGGGGGGGGGGGGGGGGGGGGGGGGGGGGGGGGGTAAGGAATGAGAATGGGAAGAGAGGTAATAGGAATTCATGACCGGTTCTAGCATGCTTATCCAGAATAGAGTTACTGAGTAACTACCCTGAAGTAACTCAGTAACTCTTGTAGTAACTCGCACGTCTCTATACCAAGCTTTATCCAACTTCTAAATATTTGTATTCGGCATTCCACCGCACCCACAATGGTTCAAAATCGCTAGAATAATTCCAATCCACAAGAAAGACAGCAGGCAAAAATCCCACCAAAGACAGACCGATCTCAATCTCTCCCGTGGTTTCCAAGATCCTTGAGCATCACATTGCCAGCTCCACCGACCTCCCACACCCCGGCCGATATGGCTTCAGACCCCACCTTCGTTGTAAACGGCACTGATCAAAGTCTTCGCGGAAGCGTTCAGGTAGACCCAGATCTCTCCTAAAGAATGTAATTGGTCCAAAAACGTAAAGCAGGGATCCAAAAGAGTTTCTCCTTATCTGGTAATCCCATAGGTATTATGGGGTAATGCCAGATATTGCGTTCGGTTTTTCACTTTTTTTTCATTCGGTCTGTCCGCAGTAACCACACCAACCGGACAACACGACCCAATGCGCACGCGCAGCTTTCCGCCTGGGTCGGGGTGCCCGTCTCTCACGAAAACACCCACTTCCCTTCCAGCCCTGGCGGTTGACGGATCCATAGGAGGCAATGGTGGAGAGCAGCTGCTCCCGGGCCGCGTAGACAAGGTTTCTAGGTGTACGCGTGAAAGGCCGTATCTGGCATCCTACACTTCATACATGTCCTCCAATCTCCACGCGACGCGGATGCGCGAACCATCCAGAACATGGTTTGTTGTCTTAGCCATTTCATTTCTAGTACGTACAAATAACAGCTATTATGTCAAGGCTGGATGGTTAGGATGTGGCGAATATGATAATTCCAAGAGTATAGGGGCCATTGGTATGGCAGATCTGTACTGCTGGTACTCTCTAGATTAAATTTCGATTAGGAAAATATTGGAGGGTTAGTTGAAAGAAATGTTCTCTGCAAAATTATTTATGGATGCTTCTGAGCAGTATTTACTTGGAAACTTTTTTCCCATCTCATCGATGTTCTAGGAGGTTAAAGATTATTTTTTTTCCTGGAGTTATTTAATCTATTCTGCTCTAAGGGGAATTTAAAAAATACAATATTAGGGTTTGTCAGGTTGTGTGCATTCATAGGGAGAAATGTTGAAAAATATTTGAGAGGCTCTCGTATATTCAGCAGTATTTAATCACTCGGTTCCTTCAACCTGCAGGTCAATATACAAACTAGTCCCGTGCTCGTCCGCGGTGGTGCTTCAGAAAAAGTAATGGAATTCATAAACTACTTCCAGCATCTAAAGTAAGGATAGTAAAGCTGGCAATTTCTAGAGGAACCATCCGATTCGCTATGTTTCCCCCTCAAACTGAGATCCTCATTCCAACAACTAGCTACTCGGGTCATCAAATGAGGGAGTTTTGACCTGCCTGGATTGGTCGGGCACAAGGAACCAATTAACGTTGATTCGATAACGATAGGGAAACGATAGGGAATGCTTGGGCGGTTTAGTACGGACTGATTTCAGAGAAGTACCTCGTATATTCCGGAAAAACTTCTCACCAATCCTGTCAATGTCTTTCTTGAAAATGTCAGTGCCTCCGAACCTGCCATTTCTCCGCGCAGACTCGGCATCTTGCTAGCGCGCAGACCGTGGTTCTTCATCCTCGCCTCCGTGGCCCTCTCCTCCGGCCTCAGCTCGGGGCTCCTCTTCTGGCGGATGTATAATTCGGAGAACGTGGAGACGTGGTTCCTTCCCGAGGCACCCTTGTACCAGACGGAGATGTGGATCCGGGAGAATTTCCCCGAGGGGGTCCGGTACGAGCAGGTCATCGTGGCGGGTCCAAACGTCCTCAAGCCTGAATATTTCAAATACGTAAGAGAAAGGTTTCAAATAAACGAGAGAAATGTTTCAAATGTGTAAGAGGAGTGCTTCAAATATTTGAAAGGAATGCTTCTATTTTGTGGTTATTAATTCATATATAAGAGGGATTCTTCAAATACGTGAGAGGAACACCTATGATGTGAAAAGAATGGTAAAAACATTTGCAAGGAATGTTTTAAATAATGAGAAGAATGCTTCAAATATGCGAGGGGAATGCTTCAAATTTGTGAGGAATGTCCCTCGAACTTTTAAAAGGAATGTTTAGAATATGCGAGAGAAGTGTTGCATTCATATGCTTCAACTGTGTGGCCAGCATCAATGATGACGATTTGCAGGAGAAGGTCTCACCCCGAGTCTTTTGCAGATGGCGGCTCTAGACAGGAAAATTCGATCCGTGGAAGCCGGGGGATTTGCATGGGTGGACGTTTGTGCCAGGTAAATGTTAAATACTAATGAAAGAAAACAACCCAATTTTTAAAAATGAGTTTTCTTATTGGAATGAACAAAATCAGGCACATACCATGCCTTTTTTATTTGAATGAATGTTCCTGCTAATGCATACAGGCCAGACGAATTTCTGGAAGGAAAAATCAAGGAGAAAAGGAGGAAAAGAGACACCCCGAACCTGTTGAGCCCAGATGAGTCCAGTGTCCACCAGGTTCAAGGTATGTCCATGAACGGCGAGTAGTTGCATGAGTCTCCATGGATTCAGTTCACTATTTGATTTAGTTCAGTATTTTCCTGTATTGGACTGGTGAAGCCTCTAGAAAATAATTGGAATTCGTTTGCTCGGGATTTTTTGCAACTCATACGTGAGCATTCCGCTGTGTCGTAAATTGTATTTTTTATTATTGCCTGTGGTTCTGTAATGGGGAGAAAGTGTTGCCGTTCCGCACGCTTGAAATGTTTCACCTGTCGTGGTGGTCTTTTGGGCCCTATTCACAGAACGTGTGGAATCCTGCCCCTCTGCTTTCGATGGAGGTATATCTGACGCTGACGAAATGCTCAAAGGAGAAAAACTTGCGACGTAATTTCGAATCCTCCACTATTAAACGGCATTTTTTCTATACTTACATTCTGAGAGGAATGTTTTCAGAATAATTTCCATCTCAATATTTTCAATGCAAGTATTGCAAAATTAAATAAAAATAGGTTGGTTCTAATGCAAACCGTAAGTGCCACTAAAATCTATTATACTCTTCCATCGAATTAAATGATGATGTTTAGGTAGTTTCATTGATGTTAATAAGTCTGTCCAGACACTTTCCAACGGATGCTCCACATATCTCCTTCAATGGCGAACAGGGAAATTTCATTTGAGATTCATGGTTAATAATGTCAATAATAAATGTTTGTACTGAGCTGGTTCTTGTGCGTTGGAATTTCTTCATATTTCATCCTCAATTATGATAATTAATAATAATTGGTTATTAGTTGTTATAAAGTAATCATCCGAAATTAATAATAAACATCCATTATTAGGCATTATTAGTCATTATTATCAATGATTCTCTTGTTCACTGACTCTCTAAAGTGATTCACATAATTTTCCTTTTGTTTTAGCGGAAGATGGATTTGAGGAAATGTTGACTACTGAAGCCACAAGCATTCCCTTGCATTGGCAAGAGGTTTCGATGGGCGTTGATTCCACGGGACACGAAGGACTTGAAGGAACGCCACCGCCATCGACGACGACTGCAAGAGTAACACGAACAACAACGACAAAATTACTAACAGCAACGACAAAGTTATTAACGGCAACAGCCAAAATAGTACCGACGACACCGTTGACAACAATTACTACAACAGTAACAAAAGCGTTATCGTCATCCGCGTCAATGTCAATGGAAAACATAACAACGATAGCAACTGAAGCAACATCATCAAGAATTGGATATGCCATAGCAACGGCAGCAAAAACGAAAGCAGCCCAGCCAGAACCAGAAGGAATCACTGGAGAATCTGCGCAATATGACGACTACAGTTATGGTTGGAAAGAGGATTCGAATGAGGACGTTTTTGGAGGAGATGAGAAGGGAAAGGAAAAGGTCATGTACGAGGATAAGTGCATCTATTCCAGCTCCCTTCTTCTGTGGGATGAGGATTTCGATTTCAGTGCCATCACCAAGGAGGAGATCCGGGATAAAGTCACGAGGGCGCTTGATGACGAGTAAGTTTAGAGTTTTTCTCTCAATAACGTCTTGCCATTTGAGTTGTTATCGTGTTGCTTTTGGCGAGGTTGAGCATTCTCATTCTTGTTAGCCTCATTAATATAAGAATCGTTTGAGACATATCGACGGGGCGCATTGACCTTGGATTCAAAGGATGTTGGACAAATTAGCAATAGTAAAAATAAAGGAACGACCTAAAATTTCCATTTCAAAATAGAGAAATCCAGGAAACAATATGCCATTCGCTTGCAATTATAGATTTAGGGCATTTTCGCCACAAACTGGAAGTTTTCGCGGGATTCATCACTCTGAAAATGTGTAGCATATTGTCCAAGCGCATCATAATAATATCCAGAGGCGAAAAAATTGCTTTATGTGCAATTATTAAATACATTGAGACATGTTTGCTAAAAGTGATTGTTTATGGAACATTTGTAATGTGATGCATGAGTATCGCATGACGGTAGGTCGATGAAAGACGTAGACGTGATACTATCGGGCGTAGAGCGTGATGCCGAAGGACGGGTTGAGGGGGCCACAGCCGTCCTGAGCGTCTACATCCTCAAGGACCGGACGAACATCACCAACATCCAGGGGCAACGAGTGAGTCGGGTGAATGTCGTTTGATGTTGTTTGTACCGTCAATGGCATGTCTTGGTATCACCCATGCAGACACGGTCATAATACGGCAACGAATGTGGTTGTCAAGAGTCTGACAGTATGCGATAATCAACATGGCAAACATTATGATGTGGTATCAACAGGGCAAGTAAAATGAAATAGTTTTCAATATTGATACTTAGATACTAGGTTTCCTATAACTTTGTAGATCTTTTAAATGCAAACATAACTTGGAAAGGGAGCAATGAAAAAAGTCTGTACTTGAAACGTTCAACATATGTAATCTCATTATTATTCCAAATTCCAGTAATAGGCACTGAAATTCTTGTGGTCGGCCGGAATCCAGACACGGAAACCGGCAGATAGATATTTGAGGATGACGAGAACTTCCTTTCGAGATTTGGCTGGCACGTGAGACAAATTGCGATAAAATGGAAAATGGCCACTCATCCATATTCAAATCCTCTATTAAATATTTTTGTACTGAAAAGCTCGCCGCTCGAAGCAATGCATGATAGCGACCACATTACTGAAATCTCCATGCTTTTTCCATAATTTTGACAGTTTGTACGATGAATCTTTCAACATTTCATTCTCAATAGAATAGAATGTTTTTCACCATATAAATTCGTTAAATAAATTCTTGACACGGAAACAAATGAAAATGACATTTATTAGTATTGTGTCCGCAGATTGATCCCATCTCTGAGCCATGGGAGGCGAAGTTCCTCGATGCGATTTTCCACAACGTCCTTCCCCGGCCCCTGGGGCTGGAGGTCTACGTCGCCTCCGCGCGCAGGTGCAGCCTCGTTCCTCCAAGTGGATGTTTGGTCCTAGTTTCGCGCCAGCGGATGTGTCGTCCACTTGGATATTTCATCAGTGCTAGGATGTTTTCCCTAACAGCCACCGGGATGGGATCACGTCCGTGATAGACAACAACAGGATTTACTTCGTCTTTGGGTTCGTCTTCATCACGATCTACCTGGCTGCCTTCATGGGGAAGTTCAACCTCTTGCAACAAAGGGTGAGTTCAAATTTTCTTTTGCCGAACATGTTTCTTATTACTGAGCTGCCAATAGATTTCTTGATTTACGGACGGACATTTGAATGTTGCAAAAGGCTTGAAATGTGCCTGTCATTTCTGAACGAAAGGAAGTTCAGGCATCTTAAAATATCGTTGATATTGGCCCAATGTTGAGACAAAATGGATGACTATAAGACGTGTTGATGCTTTCAGATGCCCCGAAACAGACGATGTTTGTATAGGATACAATTTCAGGATCGTAAAGAGATTTTAGCAGGTGTGAGCATAAAATCCAATTCAGAATCGTTGTTATTTGAAAGTGACATTTGAGCCAAAAATAAATAGCTGAACGTTTCTATGCATTATGAGAGCCAAGGCAAGCATAATTTCATTCTAAGACATTCTAGTTCTGTTGCAGAAACTAGGAAAGCAGACTTCAGGACCAAATAATCTCCTGAAATAGATTTCACGCTTCCAAATTTCTTTTGCTACCTTCAAACGTACAATAATTCATACTAAATTGTTGGACCTCTCTGGTGACGAAATTTCGCCCATTCTTTTAGATCTACCTGGGCTTGGCCACAGTGTTGTCCATCGGAATGACCATCTTGAGCGCGTTCGGGGCGTGCCTATACGTCGGACTCTTACCGGCGGAGCTCCATAATTTGATGCCTTTCCTCATCCTGGGGATCGGCATTGACGACACGCTCGTCATCATTCAGGTATCCTCTCATCTTTTGCAAACTTTTTTTCAATTCTTGAATTTTTTATTTAAACCTGACTGGATCTCTCTGCAATTCGCCATTTTGCCTGAATTGAACGCGAGGTATTCACATACCGGAGTTAAACACATTCGAAAATTGTAAAATGTTAGTATCAAACAGGAAAAATTTGTTATTATAGGTTTTCCCGACGAATTTCGGCATGTCCTTTAAAATTCGGCAACGCTCCCGTCTCCTCGAGGTTTTCCCATTCAATTTTGGCAGGTGCCTTTCGATTTCAGCATCAACCGTCATAATTCCGGCAAGGCAAGGGAATCTCATGTTTTTTGGTAAACAGGAGCGTGTGACATCTTCGACGTTACAGGTGTTCTTTGATGAGCTCCTTAGACATGTACACATGCTTCACCAGCAGATAAACCAGTTTATGTCATCATGGATTATGCTAGACCCCACAAACGAGTCTAAGTCCCAGATAACTTTCCTAACGCTTACGTGGAGTTTCTGGAGGCATATTTTCCATTCTTGACCCCGACAGACCATGCCCACTCAGCATTCGAGGCAGTCGTCAAACGTCTGCCCCTTCCCGAAACGCAGGTAGAACTTGGACGACGAACACCAGAACGAAAATTGGGTCGGGCAGAGAAGCTGCTTGAAATAGGAGAGGCAGCAGTTGGGCAAATAACCCGTCGGAAGTGCTTTGCGAGGTTTCTACATGCAAAACCATACTTGACCAGATGCCAAAGGAGAGAACGTATCGAAGGTTTGAATCAGTGTCAATAGCCATGAGTTTCCCTTTGCACAATAAAATAATGATTATTCGCTGTAAATACCCTATGGGATTGTGCCTTTTCCTTCCTTACTCGGCAACCCCATATGCATGTTATCTGATACCAAAAAAGGGGATTAACTTGCGCTGCTGAATTTGAAATGACATGTGGCAAAATTCGTCGAGAAAACTTATATTATTTTTTTCTTGTAATTTGCCATTCAGTCCTATCATCGCGCATTTCAATTTAGAAGATCCTCCACTTCGAATTATTCATGAGCGTGCCCTGAATGCTTTCGATGAAGAGGACAAACCCGATTTGGTGGACACGAAGAGGGAGTGCATGCAGAATTAAAGAAACAGTTTATGCGAACGACAATTTTGCACAGAGGTACAATATAAGCTTTAGTCGTCGCTTTCACTTACCCCCTATCGTGGGAAGAATGTAAGTGTTAGTACAAGTCTAAGAATCGAAAGCTGCGTCCCCTCAGTGTCTGGAGAACGTGGTGAACGCGGGAGGGATCTTGAAGGCGGAGGAGCGCGTCGGGGAGGCACTGAAGCAGGCCGGGGTGTCAATCACCATAACCACGCTCACAGACATATTTGCTTTCGGCGTTGGAGCAACGACGGTGAGTCGCCTGCCTGCTCACTTTCATCTGATGCATTCTGGTTCCAAATCAAGTGGAGGTCTACATGCTTTGAGTGCGCTTTCCAGAAGGAACCCGTGCCGCAATAAGGTTTTTGGAGGAACTAGTGTGCATCGTGTAGTGTGTTGACGGTCAACTTCTTATATTTAAGAGGAAGGCCGTATTTAGTGGGGGGGAGGGGGGGGGGTTCAAGGGGTTCAAACCCCCCGGAAATATCTTCCTTAAATGTTTGCCATGCTGCTATTCGTCGGTGTAAACGGTGCAATACTTGGTCCTATCTATATTTAATAGCTTGTAACTTATTAAACACTGCAACTTACAGGAAAATCCAGATTTGTCACAAATATTTACAATGGGAAGTATAAAAAAAATAGCCACAGCGAGTTCGCCAGACCTCAACCCCCCCGAAATGAAATCCTAGATACGGCCCTGTTTAAGAGTATAAGTTAGATGACTTGATTTTTCTTGAGCTGGGAAAGGAGGGTCAGATACACGAAGAGGCGTGCAATAGCAATTTCTTTATCGAAAGTTGTCATTGCTTGACCAGAAAATACCGATGCTGAGGAGTTTCTGCATCTTCACGGCCGTTGGGATCTTCATCGTGTACGTCATGAACTTAATATTCATTGTCCCGATTCTGTCGTTGGACGAAAAGAGGCGAGACGCCGGGAGGGAAGGGTGTCTCTGCATTCAGCTGCCAGACAACTACAAGCCGAACCGCTGCATGCAGAAGCAGCTGATGGACGAGTTTTTCCAGCGGTTGCTCGGACCGCTCATCGTGAAAACGCCAGTGAAGGTTGGTGGTGTGGGGAGATGGAGGAGCGCGGTTTGAGGGGATTTGTGCAGCGGAAATTTGTTGCAGGTGGTAGTGGTGCTGGTCACGGTGGGGCTGTTGGGTGTCAACTGTTGGGGATTGTCGGGGTTGACGAATGAATTTGACAGGTCCTGGTTCCTGGATGAGGGGTATTTAAAGGATTTCTTGACGGCATTGCAAGAGCTCTTCCCGGAGAGCGGCTACAGGGCGGAATTTTATATCGGTGAGTCTCAGTTGGGAACCAGACGTGATATTGGGACTGGGTGTGATGAGGGATGGCTGTGAACAGGGGACGTGGATTATTTCCGGGAGAGGGAGTCGCTGATGGAACTGTACAAGAGGCTGGATGGGTTGCCCGGTGTGAGAGACGGCTCAGTGGAATTTTGGTATCCGGCCTTCCTGGAATACCTGAAAGATGAAAAAGGTGAGTATGCTTTGACGTTAAGTCGCCGGGAGCGATTGGAAAGTGATGTGTGCGTTGACATCCTTTTCTGGGATATCAGGTCTTGGAACTTGAGGTCCGCTTAAAGGCTTTCTGCATATGGCAATTCAAATGAAAAGAACTTTTTCATTTGATAACTTTTCGTTAAGGTAGTTCTTTTTTCTGCTCTGGTTTGGACCGTTTCTTTCCACGAGAGAAGTAGTAGATTATACAATTATTACGTGTGCATGAACGTGATGCGAATGGGGCGCGTTTCTGGTTGGGATCTCTTCGCGAAACCAGAGAATTCAATTGGCCATGGACAACGTGGAGCTATCATCTAGAACTACGCCAAGTAAGCAGTGAAAGTAAACTGCTGTCGAGAATAATAATGGATAATAACTGAAGGGAAACATGCACCCACGCATCCAGCGAAGGGAGGTGCAGGCTGACGGTCGTTGCCCTCGGCCGCGGTGGGGAGGCAGATTAGTCCGTGTCGAAACACATTAAACACCATGAGCTCATTTCACATTTCGCGAACGGAATCAATTCATATCAATTCATTCATATCAATGAATGAGATGAGTTCGTGGAGGCATCCCATGATTTAGGATTTCTCATCAATCTCATCCCCGAACATGAAAAAGCGGTTTCCAAGGTCTATTATCCAAGCTTTGAGTTTACTCTCTCTGTCGCATTACGGCAAGGAGCATCCCATCTCCCACCTGATCCTGTCTGCTCCTGGTGGGGGACTGTCGACAACTCTCATCCATCGGGTCTCTTAGACCCGCCTGAGCAGCCTTTGAAATCTCTGAAGGCATTATCTACAAGCTTTTAGCGGTTCATCGATGTAGGCAGATTGGGATGGGTTAATCAGCTTTGTCTATTAAGCTGATGGATGCCATGAAGAAGATTCATGGTGAGCATTTCTTCAGAAATTGTGCTGCTATAGTGAGAGCATGTTAAACTTTCAAGTCCATATCCCCAGTAGTTTGCTCTTGTGCAACAAAGGACTAAGTTTTTCATTCTCGCTTCCAATACACTTATGGTCATATGTGTGGCGAGGCGCTTCTCCCTCCCCCCCCCCACACTCCCCTCTCACCCAATCTTGAAATATGAAATTCGCAAGAGCTTCTGGGAGTGAGCATTCTTCTCATCTCATCGAGTATTCTCTTTTTTTTCCGTTTTCAGAATACCCGAAAACAGAGGCGGAATTCAAGGACAAAGTATCCACCTTCCTGGTTTTCTCCAAGAAGGGACGGAAGTACCTCCGTGACGTGCAGTACACCGGGAACCTCCTCCTCGACTTCAACATCACCGTGAGTGCTTGCGCTGGACGTGTGCCCGTTTGCCGCGCCAAGTAGAGGTGTGCGCGGGGTCCTTCATCCTCTCGAAACGCGTGCTAAAAATTGATGAAATCTTCTGGTATGCCCCAGAAACGCCCGTTATAGACGAGGATTATGAAGTTCTGAAGGTCTGTTTTGGTCGGAATTTCGAATGCGTGAAGGCAGAATGGTAGTCATGTCGAAGGACAAGAGTGTAGATGCCATAAAATGTCGATCATGCATAATGTCGAATGGAGTGGAGCCAGAGTCCTAGATTACGACGAAGAGGAAATGTCGATTCATGCGGAATGTCGACAGATACGAACGGGAAGCCACAAGGTCACTTTCACTTGCCTCGTCCGAAACATCCTGTCTCATGAAGCCTCGCCTGGCAGCTTGGCGGCGTCCTTGCAGAGATAATTGAGCCCTTTAAACACGCTCGCGAGTCCTTGATGAAGGCTTCCATGCAAACGCCGTGCGTCACGTGGGTGGCTTCTGTTCTCAATTCTCTTCCCAGACCTTGGTCTACGCTGACCGGAATGACATTGACCGGCTGCATTCACGTCAAATTTTATGCCAATTATTTTGACCATGATTGCTTTCCCGAAACCCATCTTGCTGTGGAGTATGCTGACTTCATGTGCTCCGATTAATGAACGCATTAAAAGTACTTCTCGACATTTCCTCCATCGACCTTTCCTCCTTTCGAACTTGCTGTATTCCTACTTTGTCTCCATCGACATTATTGCCGTCGACTATTGGCGCCATTACTTCTTTTGACACTCCGAAGCGCACCGACGAAGACCCGCCATGTTAGGGAGCGTTCAAGTATTTCAGTCCTGAAACTCAAGTTTTAGGATGGCCCATGAACAGATCCTCACGGCTCGTCTCTTCCCGCTGGGAAGAAACGAACAGGTGTCGTTAACGTCCCTGAGTCTTTAATTCGATGTTGCTGATGATCATGTTCAGGTTGAACCTGTGTTCAACCTCAGAATCTGAGCCAAATACAGCAATATTAATCTAACTGGCAACATACGATATGCCCAGCGATGCAAGAGAGAATATTGATGGGAAATTTACAGTATTTCCCATCGATAGACAAAGTGATCGTTTTCAATTAATTTTTTTCCGCACCATGATGTCATGGTCTCAGATCAGGGTTTCTACCTGTAATTTTGTTCAGAACATCTTAAAATCCAATTTTACAGACAACAGATATGCCTTCCAGGCAATGTGCCAGCAAGTCGTGCTTCATTCTTACTTTCAACATCATGTAGGGATTTCTGCCACATTCCAGAAGTATCTCAAAACAGAAAACAGTGTATTTTCAACTGGGTAGAAAGACGGGCCCAAGTCTTTCTCCAATCTTCTTCGCGAATCGAATTGCTTCAAGTCAAACTTTTGAAGCCTAAAATCAAAATTGACTCCTTTTCCCGCTTTGTGAGACGCGCTTAGACACATATTAAGGGGCTGCCCCCGCAGACTGAACCTACTTCAGGTTAGGAAAACACATGAAGATGGGAGGAGTAGGGAGATTACACGAGGCGCTTCGGCGACCCGGAAGACAAGCAAGGGAATCCGTTTCGCTACCCTCATTCGGGAGGGCAATGGGAATCTCTCTCTCTCTCTTCGCTTGGGTGGGGGTCTTCGTGTAACGTCGGTGGCGGTTTTCGTGTTTCTGGCTTTAATGATTGAATTGAGGGGAGTGATGTTGCCGTTCCTCGACTTTCAATGGATTCGAGTGCGTACTTGACACAGATGTCAAGAAGCTTTCACTGAGCTGATGATGAGGAGGAGGAAGGTATTTGCAGAAAGTGAAGGAAAACTCGAATAGATTCCAACAGAATTCTACCACGAATAAGCAAGAGAGAAAAAGCTAAGTTCGGCCAACAACGTTAAAGGGGGAACACAACGACGCGTACAACGACGATCTGTGCACAACACTCTTACCAATTGAATCCCATGCCAATGCTAAAGGAAGTGAAACCTGTTTTCAAGCGTCAACCATGCACCACCAAGCTGCAAGTCATAGCATGTGAAAGGATGAAAACTGATGAAGCAATTGAGACACGTACCATACAGGTAAAGGTAATGTGCTCATGGAATTCGAATTCGAAACGTGTCGGAAGATTCTTCGCGAATGGCGGATCGAGATGAAAAGGCCATTTCTCTTGTTGCCTCCAAAATAAAGCGACTAGCTCTAATATTTAAACCTTTTTTCACCGTGCAGCAGCGTCGACAATAGATAGCGTAAGGTTCCCTGAGACTGTCCACAAAGTCACTACAAAATTAAGAAAGACGGCTAAGTTTGATGGTCTCCTTCATGTTTCCCTTGACCCAGTGGTATGGGTGTGGATATGTAAGAGACTAGTCCACCCTTGCAGGCCTCGAGGGGAAGGTACCAGCACATCCACTTCAACGATGGGGTGGAGAAGCGACGGGGGATCGACGAGGTGGAGGAGGTGCTGCACTCGGTGCGGTTTAGGTTCCGGGATGCCTTCAGGGGATGTCTTGGGCCCGACTATCTTGCAATCAGGAGCAATCAGGCAAGTGATGCTGATCTTTGGTCTAGAAGCGGTGACGTAATTCATGACGTCGGAGTAGTCTCAAGGAAGGTGTGTCATGCAGCTTAGAGCCGAGTTCATTCGTTTTTCAGTGGATGATGATAAAGTGTAAGAAAAATGCACTAATTCACGCCTTGACTCTTCGTAATTGAAATAACTTTGCCAATTTTTTTCCTTGGAAGTCTGTCTTATAGAGCATGCTTTTCACTAGCATCTGATTTTGGTACCTCATATAAACACCCAATGCATGCAATAAGTGCAACTCGATGAAAATGAAGGGAAATTTATCTCACCTCGGTAGAGGATGCTAGCGAAATCTATATAATAATCTAAGGGTTTTCTGCTTACCCAGATACCATTCAGACGAACGCCTTAGTTTTTCTCATGAGGTGGAAGTATCGAGTAACTTCTAGCGGATTTCCCTCTGTCCAATTGATCTGTCCCCTCAGAGTGCAATCACGGACACGCCCCGACAAATTCCATTTCTATGAAGTCCAAGTATCGGAACTTGAGTTGGAAACTTCTGCATTCTGAAACGAAGCCAGCAAGCGGGAGACATAACAGATGCAGAATATCCACCTTGCACAACAAATGAGCTTGGGAATTGGTGCTCCGAAAATGGTTTCGAAGCTAGGAGAGGACCGAGCGAGAGGATAGAAGGAGGTAGTGCTGACATTCGCTGCTTACAGGTTGTATCGGAGGAGCTGATCAAGAACCTCGGCCTGACGCTGGCTGGAGTATTCGTGGTGGTCCTCTTGATGGTGGGGGACCTGCGCGTCTCCCTCTGGGTCTTCACTTGCATCCTCTTCACCTTGATCGGGATAGCGGGGGGGATCCGCTTTGCTGGGCTCACCGTGGAGATCATGACCTCCATCCTCATGATCTTGTCTGTCGGGTTGGCCGTGGATTATTCCACCCACATCGCACATAAATTCATGGTCACGTACAGCGATTCAAAGGATGGTAGGTTCTCCTTCGACTGCAAAGCAGAATGAAGTTAAGAAACAATTAAACACGTGATTTGAATGTTTCTAGCACGAGTAAGAATCACGTTAATAGAAATAGGCCCGCCTGTTTTCAACGGGGGCCTTACTACGATGATGGCCTTCATGTTTTGTTTTTGGAGCACCAATTATCTCTTCAAAGTTTCTCTCACGGTCGGTTTCTACATACATTCAGATATTTTTTATTTTAAATCGCGTGCAGCATACTTATGTTTTATTTTATTGTATGGTAGGTAATTTGGCTCTCGGTGATATACGGGCTTTACCACGGTTTGATCTACCTGCCTGTGATGTTGAGCTGGTTTGGCCCTGATCCCTTCGTTGATGTGATGCCTTCAATGAAAAACAGTCCTTCCACGGATGTTCTTGAAATGAATCTTGAAGATACGGAGGGAGGCAAACTTCCCATTGTCCCGACGAAGAATTACTCAACCTTTTCGGTAGGTTTTGGAATTGCAAATTTCGCCTACCCTAGCATTCCATTGCAACGAAGAGTGGAGATATGAAGGATCTTTAATTGCCAATCCCACATGGAACATGTGCATCCGGAATTCATGGAAACATCGCTCTGAATTTTTGAAGAATGCCGTGCGATGTGATGATTCAATTTTCCATTCAGCAGAGTTAGGAGATTGAAACCAACCAACACCCTACCCGTTTCCAGGATTTTCCTGGAGATCCTGATGATGCGAGTTCGAATCGAATCTTTTCCTCGGGTAAAAATTTGTTGAATTAAAGCAATATAAAATGTACTCCTTCATTTTCTGAGGATTCGTGTGATACAAAGAGGAAATTTTCATCATTTCTTTGCTTCTCCTTCTGGAGACATCAGCAAGGTCCTGTTTCTTGTTGCACGAGTAGTTCATACGTTAGGAGGTGCATGCGAGCGTGCTTTCCAGATTTGGAGTTTTTTGTGGGTACTGCTGCAAGATACTGAAAAAGTTCATCCGTCATCATGTGACAAATTTCCCCTTTCAGTGGAAAGTCCTTTGGAAGAAGAGCAAGGGAGAGTATCCGATGGGAAGCGAACCAGGTCATCCGCAGCTGGAGGATGCTGGAGGACAGGAGTCCTCTCCCAAGGGCGACAGGAAGGAGGGCTGCGCGGTGGCGTCGTATCGCCAGCGACGGGGTAGTCAGGCTTGAATGAATGGGCTCTGGTTGCTCTGATTTGCTTCGAAACCTGGATGTTCGTTTGTCTGGTGATCCATGCTTGGGCTGTTGATGCGCTCAAGCGTGATTCGGGATGAGGCCTTCTTTTTTCGAATTTCTGGTTGTGGATGTGCAGTGTTCGTGAACAATGACGCTTTTTGAAGGTCAGCTTCTTTACGTCGCGTTAAAGCAGTTGCTGCTGCATTCCTGGCAATCTCTGGGGAAACGGCGGACCTGGGGCCTCTTTCACGAAACTTCTTTAACTTTTCTTTATCTTTATTTCGGCTATATTTCGACTTTATTTCGACTCAAAATAAAGAAAAAATAAAGACACCTTTGGAGGTCTCTCTATCTCGACTTTAACCTCTCAGAGGACTACGGAAACTCACCTGTGTGTATTCTTATTAACGTGCCCCAAGCGTTGCATGAGCATTCTTCCTGCCACCTGTGACTTACTGCTCTCCGTGTTCACTTGACCATGGCTGCAAGACTTCATCTAATTCGAAGGCAGCTTCGTCGGGAAAGAGTACTTTGCGACCGAAACAGCCCCTTGGAAGAGTACGACGATGAAGGACTCAGGAGCAGATTCAGACTCTCACGGAGTCTCTTCTTGGATATCTGTGTCCTAGTAAAGAGTACTTTGCGACCGAAACAGCCCCTTGGAAGAGTACGACGATGAAGGACTCAGGAGCAGATTCAGACTCTCACGGAGTCTCCTCTTGGATATCTGTGTCCTAGTCCAGGCGAAAATACAAAGGGGTACTGCCCGTTATGGAGCACTGCCAATGCAGCTGATAATATGTGTGGCACTTCGATTCCTGGCCACAGGCTCCATCCACTCCATGCTCGGTAATGGTCAGGGCCTTTCCATTCCTACCATATTAGATGGAGCCTGTGCCCAGGAATCGGTCGCAAAGTACTCTTTCCCGACGAAGCTGCCTTCGAATTAGATGAAGTCTTGCAGCCATGGTCAAGTGAACACGGAGAGCAGTAAGTCACAGGTGACAGAAAGAATGCTCATGCAACGCCTCGGGCACGTTAATAAGAATACACACAGGTTAGTTTCCGAAGTCCTCTGAGAGGTTAAAGTCGAGATAGAGAGACCTCCAAAGGTGTCTTTATTTTTTCTTTATTTTGAGTCGAAATAAAGTCGAAATATAGCCGAAATAAAGATAAAGAAAAGGTAAAGAAGTTTCGTGAAAAAGGCCCCTGGTCCTCAATGCGGAAGCAGCACCAATCATGGAGCCAATGTGCGAAATCCATTGCTTTAATGTGTCTGTCATTGTTTTTCTGTGTCACGGACACGACCTCCATTCGAACAGAACACTTGCTGAAGAAGTCTCATGTTTACTCGATCAAATACCTACACAGGCCAGACACAATATAAAAAAACACGAATCACAAGGGTTTCCCATCGGTCATGACAAACTGTCGTTAAGTGGGCGAATTCAATGGGCGGGGATGGGTTGGGGAAGGATGATATAGGCGAATCGCTCTTTTTTCATGTTTTATTCTGATAGAACAGATTCCAAAACCATTTCCAATGGCCTGTTACATTACCAACCATGCATTATACTCTATACATCCAGAGCAGGAGTTGGATTAACTGTAACGATATTGAAAGCTATTTACATGCTTTTTTTTGAGGATTCTCTTCCACTACTCTCTCCGGACTACCTCCTCTTCATGCGGGACTTCCCGCATGGAATCTCACTTCTTCATCTCGTTGTGTCCTTTTGGGCGCACATAACCGCAATGAATAAGCAGAGGATCGACAAGATTTCTATTCCAATTTTTTTTTTTTTTTTTTTTTTTTCATACATCGATCTTGACCAGACGAGCCCCAATATTTTTTCTTTTCATCGCGAACACGACGACGTACTCGATCGACTCCACGAATCGGCTCGTTTGCCCTTGGAACAAGTCGAGTGAAACTTGGGAAACCGTGACATTGACCATGACCTTAAGGGCTACGATGCGACTCCAACGTTGGAACATTTTTGCTGCCTCTATTTCCTTGGCGAGTAAGGCGAAGGAGGAATATCTTTTTTCATTCCACCCACAGAAACGATTTTTGTAATTGTTGTCATAATGTGAATGTTGTAAATAATAATTTACCTAATTTTATTGTTCACTTCTTTGCATTCATTTCCATTCAATTTTAATAATTTTTCACATATGGTTATTACATTGAAGATGTGAACTCAAAGTCAGAGTTTCTCTGCTGCAACTGGATGCATCGTGGTTAAATTTCATCTAATACGAAAACAAACGCGATGAAGATCTAGTTGATTCGAAGAGAAATCACCTTCAATGGAAGGCAGTCCTTTGCCATGTCATGTAACTGTGTCATGTCACATAACATTCTCGCGGAGAAGAACCCTGGAAATCTCCCATGTTTTGTCATTCGCGTCACAGCTGGGTACCACGTGGACATCGCCGTGCGCAGGACAGTTCTGCGTGATCTGCAAGTACCGGACGCTGTAGTAAGTATTAAGTACTGGGGACTGTACGAGGTATTAAGTAGTGGGTACAGCACTAGGTATTAAGTACTGGGTACTGTAATAGTATAAAGTACTGGGTACTGTACTACGTCTTAAGTACTGGGTACAGCACTAGGTATTACATAATGGGTACTGTAAAAGATTTTAAGTACTGGGTAGTGTACTAGGTTTTAAGTACTGGGTACTGTACTAGGTATTAAGTACTGGGTATTGGTGTTCGACGGGCGGATCGATTCTGCAAATTCGAGTCGGATGGCGTTAATTAACGATCCTTGTGGAAGACGCAGACTCCGATGGGGAAAAGGGCCCATCAGCTTATGTAACGAGTTATCACCTAAGCGTTTTGAAGCCAAAACCTGTAATTTCATAACGTTGATCAATAGAAAAGCCTTATGTACCGTTGCAACTGATCTAATTCGTCGGAGGTTGTAGAATTTACCGCAAGGGCGGTAACCAGACTCCATTGATGGTTTGATGGGGAATACAAAAAAAAATTTGCAAAAATCAGGAAGCACCGATTTTGTCACGTAGGTTGTATTTCAGATTGTCATGGGGTTGTGGAATCACAGAGCGCACATATGAGCACAGTTATGACGCGGTTCAGTGCCGGCATATCCCAAAATCTCGAACCGCTTAATAGCATGAGATCAAGATTGCGAAAGTTAAAGCGAAATTAAGGAGTATTTCCTTGGCTCAACTTTTGAATTTACAACAACGTAGCACTCGACCCAATAATGAACACCGTTCGAAACGTTTCAAAGATCGAAAGAGAAAAAGCCATCGCTGACCTTGGATGGCTGCGGCCAACCGGACTCATGAAGGTTCGACGCGAGTAGAAAAAGGAGGTTCGGGAACCACTGGACTTAGGGAATGCTTGTTTCGCTGGTCATGGCTCATGGTTCGGCATGAGTCATCGGGATGGAAGGCAGGGATGACATTTTTTTTTTCCGTCCTGTTTTTTTTTTTTAAATTCCGGAGATAGGGTCGGGCTACGTCGACATCGCTGTGCAATGGTTACAAATGCATATTCACCGCTTAACCTTTATCGGGCAACTGCTGCGCCGCAAAATGGATTTTCCACGGCCTAGTGGTACAAATGCTGTACCGCAACTGCATGGAGAAATGTTCCCATACCAAATCAATAATTTCTTCACTTTCAACTGCTTATTTTTAGAATATTTGCACCGCTCAAATAGGAAGAGTTCAAAAACTGTGAATTAAAAAATCTATTTAAAAATCCAGCTGTCGGTGCGGTCTCGAGGGAGATTTAAAACCGTACGATGAAGGTTAAATACAAATGCAGATTTCGCATGGAATATTTGGATTTTACTTATGGATTTTATTTAGAATTCCAATGGTATGTACTCCCTGGTTGATTCGACTTTCATTCTTTAATTTTTTAAAGAATGAAAGTCGAATCAACCAGGGAGTTCAAACTAAAGCAAGTTATTGCGGAAATGTGCTAGCCAATAGCTTGAACCTTTAATTACCCTGCAGTGCGGACCGCGGTCGAAATCCGCGATTTCAAAAAGTTAATCAAGTTTCGTCATATCTGAAAATAGGCAGTCCTCGCTGTCTCGGCTAAATATCAATGAATCGTGCTGTTAGGTGATCATAAGCTCTGAGATTTTCTCGTGTCTTGCATATTGAGGCAGTGCATTTTCTTGTTGAGGGAAGCGGGCCTTGGCCCACCCTTGGCCCCCCCCCCCCCAAGTTACGTCTCAGTTGAAAATGAATTGCACCAAATATTGTTTACTTGCCAATTGCAACTTTTTCTGGTATTTCTAGCAGGTAGGACGAGACGTGAGCATCGTAGTGACTGTCGTGTGAACCGAATACGAACCGGAATAAACTGGAAGTGTCGCAGCATCCCGAAGCCGCATCTCCTCCATACATCACGAAAATGGGTAAAGACATCATGGGAAGAATCAGCCGTCACGTCCACGCCGCCTCAGAATCCCTCTTCCACAAGTAAGTCCAGGTCCAAGCATATTAAGTTCAATCAAACCAACCCCAAGCAAATCAAGCTTCATGTGGGAACGAATGGGTTCCTGAAAATTCATTTCGTTTCGTTGGGCATCCATCATATAGGAGCATTTCCCTCTTCCCGCGAAAAAATGGATCCAGAAAATAGCTTGGACTGGAAATTTTCCTCCCATCAGTGCGTAACCTTAATATCTAAGAAAATGTGTATTCTCCAAACTTCCGGTAAGATGGTGTAAATTCTTGAGAAAAATCGGTTTATAAATTTGGAAGGCACAATATGTCAACCCGAAAAAAAATTATTTTAATTTTGTGAAGAAGTGAATTGTTTTTTCAAGATAAAATTCACATACTGGAGGAAGGAGATATACTAGGTGGGTGAACAAAAAGCTGTCGTTTTTGACGAGTTGTCAATCTGATTGAAGGCTGCCGATTCTGATGAAATTCGGTAGACATATAGGGTAACTCAATTAGGATCAGCGTGTCAAGTTTAAAAAAAAAGTTTACAAAAACTTTGAGGTTAGCATTTCATCGCCAAAAAGTTTTTTTTTTAATTTCAGCTTAATATTTTTAAAAATTGACAAGAACAAAAAACAAACAGAACAAAGAAAAACAAAAGCACACAATCTGGTTCAGGGACGTTCATTTCAACTGAAAAGGGGCACCTTTTAACTGAAACTGAAAAAGACACCACAGAACCGTCGAAGCAGTGCCTCGCAGTTTTCCCTCGCAGCGTCAGGCGGGGACGGGAGGCCGGGCCTCCCTTCCATCCCGCGCCCGAAATTCGATATCGATATTTTCGACAACATGTTTTGCTATTAGTCATCGAGAAGGAATTGCAGGTACTATAATTGTTGAGCAAGAAGGCTGAAATTTGGCGTATAAGCTCATATAGGTCATAGGAATTCATGACCGGTTCTAGCATGCTTATACATAATAGAGTTAAAGAATAACTACACTGTAGTAACTCAGTAACTCTTGTAGTAACTCGCACGTCTCTATACCAACTCTTACCCAGCTTCTAAATATTTGCATTCGGCATTCCACCATCCCAGCAATGGATCCAAATCGCTAGAATAATACCAATCCACAAGAAAGACAGCAGGCAGAAATCCCACCGACGACAGACCGGTCTCAATCTCTCCAGTCGTTTCTCAGTGTTTTTAAATGCAATATTTGGAATTGTCCGGTTATGTGCATTTATTGGGAGAAATGTTGAAAATTCTTTGAGAGACTCTCGTATATTCAGCAGTATTTAATCACTCGGTTCCTTCGACCTGCAGGTCAATATACAAACTAGTCCCGTGCTCGTCCGCGGCCGTGCTTCAGAATATGTAATGGAATTCATTAACTACTTCCACCATCTAAAGGAAGGATAGAAAAGCTGGCTATTTTTTTGAGAAACCTTACGCTTCGCTATGTTTCCCCCTCAAACTGAGATCTTCATTCCAACAACTTGCGACTCGGGTCATCAGCCAAGGGAGTTTCGACCTGGCTGGATTGGTCGGGCACAAGGAACCAATTAACGTTGATTCGATAACGATAGGGAAACGATAGGGAATGCTTGGGCGGTTTAGTACGGACTGATTTCAGAGAAGTACCTTGTATATTCCGGAAAAAGTTCTCACCAATCCTGTCAATGTCTTTCTTGAAGATGTCAATGCCTCCCAACCTGCCATTTCTCCGCGCAGACTCGGCCTCCTACTGGCGCGCAGACCGTGGTTCTTCATCCTTGCCTCCGTGGCCCTCTCCTCTGGTCTCAGTTCGGGGCTCCTCTTCTGGCGGATGGACAACACGGAGAACATTGAGATGTGGTTTCTCCCCGAGGCACCCCTGTACCAGACCGATATGTGGATCCAGGAGAATTTCCCCGAGGGGGTCCGGTACGAGCATGTCATCGTGGCGGGTCCGAACGTCCTCACGCCTGAATACTTCAAATATGTAAGAGAAAGGTTTCAAATGTGTAAGAGGAATGCTTCAAATATTTGAAAGGAATGCTTCTAGTTTGAGGTTAATGCTTCATATGTAAAATGGATTTTTCAAATACGTAAGAGGAATACCTATGATGTAAAGATAATGCTGAAAACATTTTATAGGTATATTTCAGATATTGAGAGAACTGCTTCAAATATGTGAGGGAATTCTTCAAAGTTGTGAGGAATGTCCCTCAAACTTGTAAAGGGAATGTTTAGAATATGCCAGAGAAGTGTTGCGCTCATATGCTTCAACTGTGTCGCCAGCATCATACATTCATTTATACATACAAACATACATTTTCTTGCCCGCTTTTCCCAATTAATGGGGTCGCGGTTCGAGCATTCCCAGGAGCGTCCTCCAGTGATCTCGATCCTGGGCAACATACTCAAGCTCAGCTGGTGGGTAGCCGAGCCTCTCGTGACAAAGCCGAGCGACGTAATCACTCCACCTTATTCGAGGTCTACCGACAGGTCTTTTGCCTGACTCAGCCTGGAAGACTCCTCTTGGGCGTCTTTCAGGGGGCAGACGTAACCAAACCACCTGGCCTGAGACATTTCGATCCGTAGAAGCAGATGCTCGACGTGGAGACTCTCGCGGATGGCAGAGTTCCGCATCCGATCACGGCGCTTTACGCCAGCCACTCGACGCAAGAACCTCATTTCGGCAGCTTGTATTCGCGATCTGGTGCTTTCGGTCGTTACCCAAACTTCATTACCATAGGTGAGGGTGGGGAGATAAACACTCTTAAAAACCGAGAGTTTTGCATCCCATGAAACTTCCGATCTGGTAACCATAGTTCGCCAAAGTTCCCGCAGAACTGCAGAAACCTTGGAGATGCGGTTGTCGATCTCGTTTCCGTAGCGCCCGTCACTCGAGAACCAGACCCCGAGATACTTGAACTTCTCTACCTGTTCCAGTGGGACCCCACTGACATGCAGTGTGCACAGAGCAGGATTTCTCGAGAGGACCATGACCTATGTCTTGGAGACGCTCGACTTCATTCCGGCCGCAGTGCATTCGGAGTCGAACCGATCGAGCACGCTCTGGAGCTCCCGTCGAGAGCGGGTCAAAAGAACGGCATCGTCGGCAAAGTGAAGTATCCTTACCGCGACGTCACCGATGTTGACCTTCTCCAGGCCGAGGCTGCGCCTACAGATCCTGTCCATGTACACGAGGAGCAGGAAAGGTGAGAGGACTCAACCCTGCCGGAGTCCAGCGCGTACCAGAAAACAATCCTCACTCTTCCCGCTCACTCGAACGCAGCTTCTGCAATTGCTGTAAAGGGATTGAACGGCCCGCAATAGCTGACCCTTGATCCCATACTCCTGCAGTACTCCCCTGTTTTCCTCGGGGTACACGGTCGTAGACTTCTTCAAGGTCCACAAAGCACATGTAGACATCTTTGGCATACTCCCAATGTCTCTCGAGGATTTGGTGGAGAGTGAACAGCTGGTCCGTGGTGCTACGCCCTTCACGAAAACCGCACTGTTCTTCTTGGATGGCATCACCCACAACTGCCCGAGCTCTCTTTTCCAGCACCTTGGAATAGACTTCACCAGGTATGCTGAGGAGAGTGATGCCACGATAGTTCCTGCACTCCCTCGAGTCCCCCTTCTTAAAAAGAGGAACCACCACACCGGTTTGCCAATCCCTAGGTGCCGTTCCCGATTCCCAAGCAGCCTGACACACCCTAAAAGGCTCCGAGCACCCATCTGTACCCATTGCTTTCAGAGTCTCCGCCCTCGTATGTTGCCTGCCTTGCCGTAACCTTCGGATGGTTTGCCAGAACACTTTGATGGCAGTGCGGTAGTCTGATTCCATTTGATCGCCGAATTCCTTCCACGCCTCCTGTTTCGCTTTGGCCACAACACGAGCAGCAGTTCGTCAAGCCTCGGTATAGCACGCCTTAAAAGAATCAGACCTACTGGACATGTGCGTCCGGTAGGCTACCTTCTTGGCAGTGACAGCCTCGCGCACCGCTGGTGTCCACCAGGGCGTTCGCTTGGCGTTACCGTGAGCCGCTCCGATGCGCTTCTCCCCACACACTCTTGTTGCCGCCGCCGAAACACCAGACCGAAATAAGAGTCCATTCGGTCTCTACATCTGACGTCTGGGGAGGCAGTTGGGAGTACTTCTCTCCGATCTCCCTCGCAAATTCGTCACGAGTACGGTCATCGCGAAGGGCTTCCCACCTCACTCGTATTTCAACGCGTGCGGTTCTCTGCGTCGTTCTGAGATTCGTTCGTATCCGAAGTTTGCTGACCACTTGATGATGATCGGTGCTCAGTTCTGCCCCACGGCACACCCTCGTATCCGTCACAAGGCCCCACAAGTCTGCCGAAACCATCACGTGATCGATCAGCGATTGCTGGCACACAGCACCAGTCCGACTATCAGACCCCCTGCGCCAGGTAAACTTGTGGATGTCTTTGTGCTGGAAGAAGGTGTTGGTGATGGTCAGGCCATTGCCAGCACAAAAGTCCAGCAACTTTCTGCCACTCCCGTTCAGCGTGGCTTCCCCAAATCGACCGATCACACCACTCCATGTAGCATCATCTCTCCCAACTCGTGCATTGAAGACCCCCATCAGCACAACGCGGTCGCCGTTAGGAATCCTTTCTAAGGTTCCATCCACCTCCTCCAAAAACGCATCGTAATCAGGCTCGTCGTTCGGCCCGTAGACTTGAACGACAGCCAAGACTCCAACTTGCTCCAGTCTAAGGCGGATCAGAGCGACACGCTCGCTGACTGGGTTCCATTCGATGACGCTTTCGGCCAGTTGGGGACTAATGAGTATCCCTACTCCAGCCTGAGCAAACACGGTCGAGTCGACTCCGCTCCGGTAGAGGGTCCATCGGTGGTCTAGAGAAATGGAACCGGTGCATTTCCTCTTGGTTGAGGCTAGGCCAACTATATCTAGTCGTCTCCTCCTAGTCTCCTTCACGAGTTCAGGCTCCTTATCGCCGAGTGTTAGCACGTTCCAAGTCCCGATGTTCAGAGTCCGTGGCCAAGGTCGTTTACCGTTCGATTCCGCTCCTGGTCTGCCCTTGGGGCATCGTGCCAAGAGTACGCTATGGCAGGTGGCAAGCCGACCGATAGGCCTGGATGTAGCATGACGGGGTCCGACGCACCCAGAGACATCGGATTGCGCGGATCCAGTAGCCAACTTATCGTCACCCTGGGCGCACAGTCACTATTGCAGCCCTGACTATCATGAGCGACGACTGAGCCAGTATGGAGTACCCGGGCCGAACTCATCATGTTGAATTTGGTTCGTCTTGGTCACCCTCAACGGAAGCCCCTATAACAAGGTTGGACTTGAGATATTACGGCCTTCCGCATCATCGCCAGCATCAAGGATGACGATTTGCTGGAGAAGGTCTCACCCCGAGTCTTTTGCAGATGGCGGCTTTGGACAAGAAAATTCGATCCGTGGAAGCCGGGGGATTTGCATGGGTGGACGTTTGTGCCAGGTAAATGTTAAATGCTAATAGAACAAAACAACCCAATTTTTAAAATTGAGTTTTCTTATTGGAATGAACGAAATCAGGCCGATATCTTGCCTTTGTAATTTGAATGAATATTCCTGCTAACGCATACAGGCCAGACGAATTTCTAGAAGGAAAAGTCAAGGAGAAAAAGTGGAAAAGAGACACCCCGAAAATGTTGAACCCAGACGAGTCCAGTGTCCCCCAGCGTCAAGGTATGCCCATCAATGGCGGGTAGTTGCATGAGTCTCCATGGATTCAGTTCACCATTTGGTTTAGTTTCATTGTTGATAATGTCAATGAAAGAAGGTTTTTACTGAGCTGGTTCTTTTGGGGTGGAATTTTTCCATATTGTATCCTCAATTATAATGATCATTAATACCTGGTTATTAAGTGTTATAAATTAATCATCTGTATTTAATTAAAAAAATTCATTATTAGGCATTATTAATCATTATTATCAATGATTCTCTAGTGATTTATATTGGAATTTTCCTTTTGCATAGGGGAAGATGCATTTCAGAATATGTCCACTACTGAAGCCGCAAGCAGTCCCTTGCATTGGCAAGAGGTTTCGATGGGCGTTGACTCGACGGGACACGGAGGACTTGAAGGAACGCCAGCGCCGTCGACGACAACTGCAAGAGTAACACGAACAGCAACGACAAAATTTTCAACAGCAACAGCCAAAATACTAACGACAGCACCGTTCACAACAATTACTACAACAGTAACAAAAGCGTTATCGTCATCCGCGTCAATGTCAGTAGAAAACGCAACAACGATAGCAACTGAAGCAACATCAAGAATTGGATATGCAATACCAGCAGCAGCAAAAACGAAAGCAGCCCAGCCAGAACCAGAAGAAATCACTGGAGAATCCGCGCAATATGACGACTACAGTTATGGTTGGAAAGAGGATTCGAATGAGGACGTTTTTGGGGGAAATAAGAAGGGAAAGGAAAAGGTCATGTACGAGGATAAGTGCATCTATTCCAGCTCCCTTCTTCTGTGGGATGAGGATTTCGATTTCAGTGCCATCACCAAGGAGGAGATCCGGGATAAAATCACGCGGGCGCTTGATGACGAGTGAGTTTAGAGTTTTTCTCTCAATAACGTCTTGCCGCTGGAGTTGTTATCGTGTAGCTTTTGGCGAGGTTGAGCATTCTCATTCTTGTTAGCCTCATTAATGAGAGAATCGTTTGAGATATATCGACGGGGCGCATTGACCTTGGATTAAAGAGATGTTGGAGAAATTGGCAATAGTAAAAAAAAAGGGTGTTCAGGCGGATCTAAGAGACCCGATGGATAAGAGCTGTCGACCGCCCCCCTACAGGAGCCTAAAATTTCCATTTCAAAATAGAGAAATTCAGGAAACAATATGCTATTCGCTTGCAAGTATTGTTTTACGGCATTTTCGCCACAAACTGGAAGTTTTTGAGGGATTCATCACTCTGAAAATGTGTAGCATATTGTCCAAACGCATCATAATACTAGTTATATGCAGAGGCGAAAAAAATTGCTTTATGTGCAATTATTAAATACATTGAGACATGTTTTCTAGAAGTGCTTATTGATGGAACATTGGTAATGTGATGCATGGGTATCGCATGACTTTAGGTCGATGAGAGACGTAGACGTGATACTATCGGGCGTGGAGCGTGATGCCGAAGGACGGGTTGTGGGGGCCACGGCCGTCCTGAGCGTCTACATCCTCAAGGACCGGACGAACATCACCAACATCCAGGGACAACGAGTGAGTCGGGTGAATGTCGTTTGATGTTGTTTGTACCGTCAATGGTATGTCTTGATATCACCCATGCAGACACGGTCATAATATGGCAATCAATGTGGTTCTCAAGAGTTTGAGAGCATGCGAAAATCAAAATGGCAAACAATATGAGGTGGTATCAAAAGGGCAAGTAAAATGAAATAGTTTTCAATATAGAAATTTATATGGTAGGTCTCCTATAACCTTGTAGATCTTTTACTGCAAAAGGAACTTGGAAAGGGAGCAATGAAAAAGGTCTACTTGAAACGCTTAACATATGCAACCTCATTATTATTCCAAATTCCAGTAATAGGCACTGAAATTCTTGTGGTCGGCCGGAATCTAGACTCGGAAACCAACATATAGATATTTTGAGAATGATGAGGGCTTCCTTTCGAGATTTGGCTGGCACGTGAGAGAAATTGTGATATAAAGGAAAATGGCCACTCATCCATATTTAAATCCTCCATTAAATATTTTAGTAAAAAAAAGCTCGCCGCTCGAAGTAATGCAGGACAGCGACTATATTACTGAAATATTCATGTTTTCCCCTAATTTTGACAGTTTGCACAATGAATCTTTCAACATTTCATTCTGATCAAAATGAAATGTTTTTCACCATATAAATTTCTTAAATAAATTCTTGACACGGAAACAAATCAAAATGACATTTATTAGTATTATGTCCGCAGATTGATCCCATCTCTGAGCCGTGGGAGGCGAAGTTCCTCGATGCGATTTTCCACAACGTCCTTCCCCGGCCGCTCGGGCTGGAGGTCTACGTAGCCTCTGCGCGCAGGTGCAGCCTCGTTCCTCCAAGTGGATGATTGGTCCAACTTTCGCGCGATTGGATGTGGTGTCCACTTGGATGTTTCATCAGTGCTAGGATGTTTTCCCTAACAGCTACCGGGATGGGATCACGGCCGTGATAGACAACAACAGGATTTATTTCGTCCTTGGGTTCGTCTTTATCACGATCTACCTGGCTGCCTCCATGGGGAAGTTCAACTTCTTGCAACAAAGAGTGAGTGCAAATTTTCTTTCGCCGATTATGCTTCCTATTACTGGGGTGCTAACATATTTCTTGATTTACGGACGGATATTTAAATATTGCAAGAGGCATGAAATGTGCCTGTCATTTCTGAACGAAAGGAATTTCAGGCATAATAAAATACCGTTGATATTGGCGCAAGGTTGACAAAAATGGATGAATATGACATGTTGATGCTTTCAGATGCCCCAAAACCGAGGATTTTTGTATCGGATCCAATTTTTCATCGTAAAGAGATTTTAGCGGCTGTGAGCCCCAAAATCCAATTCAGAATCGTTGTTATTAGAAAGTGACATTTGAGCCAAAAATAAACAGCTGAACGTTTCCATGCATTATGAAAGCCAAGGTAAGCATAATTACATTCTAAGACATTCTAGTTCTGTTCCACAAACTAGGAAAGCAGACTTCAGGACCAATGAATCTCCGGAAAAAAAATTTCAAGCTTCCAAATTTGCTTTACTGCCTAGAATGTCTCCTTCAAGCGTATAATCATTCATACTTAATCGTTGGACCTCTTTGGTGACGCCATTTCGCATATTCTTCTAGATCTACCTGGGCTTTGCCACAGTGTTGTCCATCGTAATGACCATCTTGAGCGCGTTCGGGGCGTGCCTATACGTCGGACTCTTACCGGCGGACCTCCATAATTTGACGCCTTTCCTCATCCTGGGGATCGGCATTGACGACACGTTCGTCATCATTCAGGTATCCTCCCATCTTCTGCAACCTTTTTTTCAATTCTTGAATTTTTTAATTTCAACCTAACTGGATATCTCTGCAATTCGCCATTTTGCCTGAATGAACGTGAAGTATTCACATACCGGAGTTGAACACATTCGAATATTTTAACATGTTAGTATTAAACAGGAACAGCTTATTATTATTGGTTTTTCCGACGAATTTCCGCATGTCCTTGAAAATTCGGCAGCGCTTCCGTCTCCTCGCGGTTTCCCCGTTCAATTTTGGCAGGTGTCTTTCGATTTCAGCATGCGCCGTTATAATTTCGGCAGCGCAAGGGAATCTCATGTTTTTGGTAAACGGGAGCGTGTGACATCTTTGACGTTTCAGGAGTTCTTTGAAGAGCTCCTGGGATATGTGCGCATGCTTGGCTTGGCATGCTTGGCCAACAGATGTACCAATTTATGACATCATGGATAATGCTAGACCCCACAAACGAGTCCCGGTTCCAGATGACATTCCTAACGCTCACGTGGAGTCTATGGCCGTATGTTCTCCATTCTTGAACCCGACAGACCATGCCCACTTCATTCATGGCAGCCGTCAAACGTGAGCTACCCCTTCCCGTAAAACAGGTTAAACTTGGACGATGAAGACCAGAACGAAAATTGCAGCAAAGTCGGGTAGAGATACTGCTCGTAATATGAGATGCAGCAGTTGGGCAAATAACCCGTCGGAAGTGCTTTGCGTGGTTTCTCCATACAAAACCCTACTTGACCAGATGCCAAAGGAGAGAGCGTATCGAAGGTTAAAATCAGTGTCAATATCCATGACATTCCATTAGCAAAAATATTAAGATTATTCGCCGTAAAAACTCTATGCGATTGTGCCCTTTCCTTCCTTACTCGGCGATAACGTCCATGTTATCTGATATCAAAAAAGGGGATTAACTTGCGCTGCCGAATTTGAAATGACTTATGCCAAAATGCGTCGGCAAAACTTATATTATTTAGTCTGCTGAGAGCCACTACTAACTGGATAAGTGTTTAAGTGCATGTTTTCTTTTGTAATTTGGCATGGAGTCCTATCATAGCGCATTTCAAAATAGAAGATGCTTCACTTCGAATTATTCATGAGCGTGCCCAGAATGCTTTCGATGAAGAGGACGAACCCGATTTGGTAGACACGAAGAGAGAGTGCATGCAGAGTTAAAGGAATAGTTCATGCGAACGACAATAGTCAAAATTTTCCACAGCGATACAATATAAATTTTTGTCGTCGCTTTCATTTAAATTGTATAGTGTGAAGAATGTAAGTGTTAGTACCAATCTGAGAATCTAAAGCTGCGTCCCCTCAGTGCCTGGAGAACTTGGTGAACGCAGGAGGGATCTTGAAGGCGGAGGAACGCGTCGGGGAGGCACTGAAGCAGGCCGGGGTGTCAATCACCATAACCACGCTCACAGACATATTTGCTTTCGGCGTTGGAGCAACGACGGTGAGTCGTCTGCCTGATGTCTTTCATCTGAAGTATTCTGGTTCCAAATCAAGTCGAGGTCTACATGTTGAGAGTGCACTTTTCACAAAGGACCCATACCGTAATAAGACTTTTGGAGGAACTAGTGTGCATCGTGTAGCGTGTTGACGGTCAAATTCTTATATTTAAGAGTATCACTGAGATGAATTTGATTATTCTTGAGCTGAGAAATGAGGGTCAGATAGACTAAGAGGCATTCAATAGCAATTTCTTTATTGAAAGTTGTTATTGCTTGATCAGAAAATACCGATCCTGAGGAGTTTCTGCATATTCACGGCCGTTGGGATCTTCATCGTGTACGTCATGAACTTAATATTCATAGTCCCGATTTTGTCGTTGGACGAAAAGAGGCGAGACGCCGGGAGGGAAGGGTGTCTCTGCATTCAGCTGCCGGACGAGTACAAGCCGAACCGCTGCATGCAGAAGAAGCTGATGGAAGTGTTTTTCCAGCGGTTGCTCGGACCGCTCATCGTGAAAACGCCAGTGAAGGTTGGTGGTGTTGGGAGATGGAGGAGCGCGTTTTGAGGGGATTTGTGCAGCGGAAATTTTCTTGCAGGTGGTAGTGGTGCTGGTCACGGTGGGGCTGTTGGGTGTCAACTGTTGGGGATTGTCGGGGTTGACGAATGAATTTGACAGGTCCTGGTTCCTGGATAAGGGGTATTTACGGGAATTCTTGACGGCATTGCAAGAGCTCTTCCCGGAGAGCGGCTACAGGGCGGAATTTTATATCGGTGAGTCTCAGTTGGGAGCAGACGTGATATTGGGACTGGGTGTGATGATGGATGGCTGTGGACAGGGGACGTGGATTATTTCCGGGAGAGGGAGTCGCTGCTGGAGCTGTACAAGAGGCTGGATGGGTTGCCCGGTGTGAGAGACGGCTCAGTGGAGTTTTGGTATAAGGCCTTCATGGAATACCTCAAAGATGAAAAAGGTGAGCACGCTTTGATGTTCGGTCGCCGGGAGCGACTGGAATGTGATGTGTGAGTTGATGTCCGTTTCTGGGATATCGGGTCTTGGAACTTGACGTCCGCTTAAAGACATTCTCCATGTCAATACGTAAGAAAAGGGCGTTTTTTTCATAATTTATTGTTAAGGTTGTCGTTTTTTCTGCTCTGGTTTAAACCGTTTCTTTCCACGAGAGAAGTAGTCGATTATGCAAATATTACTTGTTCATCAACGTGATGTGAATGGGGTGCGCTTTTGGTTGCGATCACTTAGCCAACCCAGAGAATTCAATTGGCCATGGACAACGTGCAGCTACCATCTGGAACTACGCAAAGAAAGCGGTGAAAGTAAACTGCTGTCGAGAATAATAATGGATAATAACTGAAGAGAAACAAGCATCCATGCATCCAGCGGAGCGAGGTGCAGGCTGACGGTCGTTTACCTCGACCGCGGTGGGGAGGCAGATCCGCTACTCTCCTGAATGACCTGCTTCGTTGTTGGCTGCTTTTCGGAAGACACAGCCACTGGTGCCTCCGCGATCTTCCCGATTTTCTCCATATCCTTCTGCTCCGCTGGAGCCGTAATTTCAAGAGAGTGGAGAGTATTCAGTAAGGTCTTTGGCTCTGCTTCAGAGGAGCTCAGCCCAAAAGAAGATTATAATAATTTTTCCACGGCTTACCTAATTCACGTCTGATGGATCCGAATTCCACGGTCCTTTTCTCGCTCTACCTGGGGCCACGATCGTCAAGGATCTGCAGGACTTCTCTTTCTTGGACTCTAATTTTTTCCTCGCTATTCCCATGTTGTACAAGGTCAAAGAAATGCTGGATATCCGGCTGTTCCGTGTCGAAGCACATTAAATAGCTTGAGCTCATTTCACATTCCACAAACTCATCTCATTCATATCAATGAGTGAGATGAGTTCGTGGAGGCATATCGTGATTCAGATTTTCTCATTTATCTCAACCCCGAACATGAAAAAGCGGTTTCCAAGGTCTTTTATCCAAGCCTTGAGTTTACTCTCCCGGTCGCATTACCGCAAGAAGCATCCCCCTCTTCCCCCTAAGTCTGTCGACTCCAGGACGGGAATTGTCCACAGTTCTAATCCAGCGGGTCTTCCTGACCGGCCAGAACACCCTTTGAAAATCTCTGAAGTCATCATCTACAAGCTTTTAGCGGTTCATCGATCTAGGCTGACATGATAATTCCCAAAAGGACGAGAGCTTCTGGTGGTGAGTATTCTCTTTTTTTCCGTTTTCAGAGTACCCGAAAACAGAGGCGGAATTCAAGGACAAAGTTTCCACCTTCCTGGTCTTCTCCAAGAAGGGACGGAAGTACCTCCGTGACGTGCAGTACACCGGGAACCTCCTCCTCGACTTCAACATCACCGTGAGTGCATGCGCTTGACGTGAGCCCGTCTACCACGCCGAGTAGAGGTGTGCGAGGGGTCCTTCATCTTCTCGAAACTTGTGCTAAAAATAGATAAAGCCTTCTGGCATGTCTCAGAGGCGCCCGTTATAGCTGAAGATGATGAAGTTACGAAGGTCGGTTTAGGTCGGAAATTCGAATGCGTGAAGGCAGAAATGTAGTCATGTCGAAGGGCAATTTTATGCCATAAAATGTCGATCATGCATACCACGTAATGTCGAATGGAGTGGAGCCAGAATCCTAGAATACCTACAAAGAGGAAACGTCGACTCATGCCGAATGTCGACAGATACGACCGGAAAGCCACAAGGTCACCTTCACCTGCCTTGTCCGAAACATCCTGTCTCATGAAGCCTCGCCTGGCAGCTTGACGGCGTCCTTGCAGAGATATTTGAACACTTTAAACATGCTGGCGAGTCCTTGATGAAGGCTTTCACGCAAACAGCGTGCGCCAAGTGTGCAGCTTCTGTACTCAATTCCCTCCCCAGACCTTGGTCTACGATGACCGGAATGACAATGACCGGCTGCATTGGCGGTGAAATTTGATAATTATTTTGACCATGATTGCTTTCCCGAAACCCATCTTGCTCTGAAAAATGCTGACTTAATGTGCTCCGACTAATGAACGCATTGAAAGTACTTCTGGATATTTTCTCTATTGACCTTTCCTCTTGTCGAACTTGCTGTATTCCTACTTTGTCTTCATCGACATTTTTGCCGTCGACTATTGTCGCCATTTCCTCTTTCGACACTCAAAGGCGCACCGACGAAGACCCGCCATGATAGGGAGCGTTTAAGTATTTCAGCTCTGAAACTCAAGATTTAGGATAGTCCATGGCCAAAATCAGTCCAAAATCTCTTGCGCCCAGCTGCGCCTAAAGTGAGGAAAATATTTCAGATTTTTGATCTGGCAATTTCTCCAGGATAGATGCCAATGCCTTTGACCCGAAAGGACCTTTACAACAACACCAGGCAGATGAACCGAGCTGACCCTGCTGACTCAAGTGTCATTCCTGTGTTGGTCAAGCTCATTTAAACCAACTACAAAATGAGCCAGGATTTTCATGAATAAGGGCCATGTCAATTATTGAAATGTTCCGAGCTATTCAGAAGACTTGCCTTGGTTCTTCGAGCTAAGTCTTCCAGAAATTCTGAGAGGTTTTCAGACAGCGATGTCAATTGGCTGGAACAGTTCTTCAAAATAATTGTCCTCACTTTAGGCGCAGATGGGTGCAGGAGATTTTGGGCTGATTTTGTTCTTCATTAATAGATAATCATTGGCATATAAGGCATTCTCTGAGAAATCTTAAGAAGCATTTCAAATTCACTGGATAAATTTACATTGTCATTAGAAGTGTTTAGGTTGAGCCTGTGTTCAGCCTCAGAATCTACAAGCCAAATACAGCAATATCATTCTATCTGGCAACATATCGATGGGAAATGTATAGTATTTCCCATAGATAGACGAAACGAACGTTTTCAAATAATTTTTTTATCCGCATCATGACGTCAGAGTCTCAGATCAGAGCCTTTATTTTTTTGGGGGAAAATCTTTTCATCGAATTTTACAAACTCCTTCCCTCTGCGTCATTCCTGAAACTGCTGCTTCAATTGCATGTTGCATGTCTTCCAAAGGAAGGAATGTTCGGTACATTCCAGGAGAACGTCGTTCCACCTTCTTCCTCTCTCCATTTTTACCCCTTCAGACTTATGGTCTCCTCTTTGCATTGTTCTGCCTTGAGGTAGTTTCTCTGTCCCCTTTCCTCTGTTCTTTGAGACGCCTCTGTCGCCTTTGCTCCTTTATTCTTGCCAGTTAAAAGACTATGGGCTGGGCAATCTCTACTTTTGCCATTAATCAATGGGTTAATGCGTATTACTACTAGCAACGTCGAAAGAAAATACAGTTGAGAAAAGTTTTCTCATGGGAAGAATTATACCACTGCAAAAAAACGAATTATCTCTTTTTCTCAAGATTACATAGGAATATAACTTTTATTGTGACTGGGAAGCCATACTTTCCATAATTGAGCTGTACATTTGAGAGAAAATAATGAAAACGAATATTTTTCAGATATGTAACAAAAAAATGCTGAAATTTTGTTCATTTGGTCTCTTTTATTTGCAAATAATGATATATTTATTGTGCTGTAACAAGAATTGAATATACAATTCTTCAACATCGCGAAATCCCCATATAGGGGTTTTCGCGCACCACCTTTCTTCTATTAATACAAGGACCGGATGAAATAAGTGTTTGTTCAGTTTATTTTGAAGTCACGTTCTCCTTAAACATTATTCTATGAGGCGCTTCTCTATCCCTTATAGAAAAATACATGCCAAGTTTCAAAGCGATCTCAATTTTCCTGCGAAACAGGTCTTATCTTAAGGAACGGAAATAGCCTGTCGCGCCTACAGCCCTGCCCATGACAGGCGTGAGCATAAGCAGGTGGAAGTTTCACGTGCGCGTAATTGGAATCTGCTGCGTCCTCATTAGATATAGCCCTGTCGTCAACTATAGCCTCTCGTTGGGGGACGTGCGAGAAATGAGCATTCCGCGAAATCCCCCTCATCCCTCGAAAACCACCCATTTTACCATGAAGGTAATGTGCTTATGGAATTCGAATTCGAAACGTGTCGGAAGCTTCTTTGCGACAGGCGGATCGAGATGAAAAGGCCGTCACTCTTGTTGCCTCCAAAATAAGGCGATTAACTCTAACATTTCAACCTTTTTTCACCGTGGTAACGGCGTCGACAACAGAAAGCATGAGGTTCCCTGAGACTGTCCATGAAGTCCCTACAAAATTGAGAAAGACGGCTAAGTTTGATGGTCTCCTTCATGTGTCCCTTGACCCTGTGGTACGGGTGTGGATACGTAAGAGACCAGTCCATCCTTGCAGGCCTCAAGGGGACGGTACCAGCACATCCACTTCAACGATGGGGTGGAGAAGCGACGGGGGATCGACGAGGTGGAGGAGGTGCTGCACTCGGTGCGGTTCAGGATCCGAGATGCCTTCAGGGGATGCCTCGGACCCGACTATCTTGCAATCAGGACCAATCAAGCAAGTGATGTTGATCTTTGATCTAGAAGCGGTGACGTAATTAATGACGTCAGAGTAGTCTTACGGAAGGTGTGTCGTGCAGCTTAGAGCCGAGTTCATTCGTTCTTCAGTGGATGATGATCAAGTATAAGAAAAATACACTAACTCACGCCTTCACTCTTGGCAATTCAAATAACTTGGCAGTTTTTCCCCCTAGGAAGTCCGTCTTATAGAGCATATATATGAGACAAAAATTGATAACGGTCCCTACATTGTTATTATAAGGAAATACCTTCATAGGGGCCTCACAGAATGTTCATGTTTCAAAACCTTCAGGTCCTTATATATTACTAATTGTAATGGATACGAAATTACAATGAAATCCCTCAAACTCTCCACGTTTGAAGCCCTATATTTTAGAAACTCCAAGCGCTCAGCTACGATTCAACCTGACATGTTTTTCACTTGCCTCTGATTTTGGTACCTCATATAAACACCCAATGAATGCAATAAGTGCAATTTGATGAAAATGAAGGGAAATTTATCTTACCTAGGCAGAGGATGCTACTGACATCTATATAATAATCTGAGGGTTTTGTGCCAACCCAGATAGCATTCAGACGAACGCCTTAGTTTTTCTTATATAGTGAATGTATCGAGAACTCCTAGCGGATTTCCCTCTGTCCAATTGATCTGTGCGGTCAGAATGCAATCACAGACACGCCCTTGACAAATTCGATGCAATGTCTATGAAGTCCGAGTATCGGAACTTGAGTTGGAGACTTCTGCTTTCTGAAACGAAGCCAGCAAGCGGGAGACATAACGCATGTAGAATATCTACCTTGTACAACGAATGGGCTTGGGAATTGGTGCTCCGAAACTTGTTGCGAAGCTAGGAGAGGACCGAGCGAGAGGATAGAAAGAGACAGTGCTGACATTCGCTGCTTACAGGTTGTATCCGAGGAGCTGATAAAGAACCTCGGCCTGACGCTGGCCGGAGTATTCGTGGTGGTCCTCTTGATGGTGGGGGATCTGCGCGTCTCCCTCTGGGTCTTCACCTGCATCCTCTTCACCTTGATCGGGATAGCGGGGGGAATCCGCTTTGCTGGGCTCACCGTGGAGATCATGACCTCCATCCTCATGATCTTGTCTGTCGGGTTGGCCGTGGATTATTCCACCCACATCGCGCATAAGTTTATGGTCACGTACAGCGATTCAAAGGATGGTAGGTTCTCCTTCGACTTCAAAGCTGAATGAAGTTAAGAAATAATTAAACACGTGATTTGAATTTTTGTAGCACGAGTAAGAATCACGTTAACAGAAACAGGCCCGCCTGTTTTCAACGGGGGCCTTACTACGATGATGGCCTTCATGTTTTGTTTTTGGAGCAGCAATTATATCTTCAAAGTTTCTCTCACGGTCAGTTTCCACATGCATTCAGATATGTTAGTTTTATATCGCGTGCAGCATACTAGTGTTTTTCTTTTATTGTGTGGTAGGTAATTTGGCTCTCGGTGATTTACGGGCTTTACCACGGTTTGATCTTCCTGCCTGTGATGTTGAGCTGGTTTGGCCCTGATCCCTTCGTTGATGTGATGCCTTCAAGGAAAAACAGTCCTTCCACAGATGTTCTTGAAATGAATCTCGAAGATGCTGAGGGAGGCAATCTTCCCATTGCCCCGACGAATAATTACTCAACCTTTACGGTAAGTTTGGGGACTGAAAGTTTCGCCTATAGTAGCATTCCATTGCAGTGATGAATGCAAATATGCAGGATCTGCAAATGTCAACAGCACATAGTACATGTGCTGTTGGCATTTTCATGAAACCCAGTTTCATTGAGACACCGCTCAGAAATTTTGAAGAATGCCGCGCGATAGGATGGTTTAATTTTACCTTCGGAGGAGTTAGGAGGTTGAAGAAAATTGAAATGAAACAAGCCAACACCCGACTCGTTTCCTGGAGTTTCAGGAGATCCTGATGATACGAAGTCGAATCGAATCTTTTCATCAGGTATAAATTAGTTGAATTAAAGCAATATAAAGTGTACTCCTAGATTTTCTGAGGATTAGAAGGATACGAAGAGGAAAATTTTCCCATTTCTTTGCTTCTCCTTCTGCAGACATCAGCAAGATCCTGTTTTTTTTGTTGTGGGAGTAGTTGATAGGTTAGGAGGTATATGCGAGTGTGGTTTCCAGATTTGGAGTTTTTTGTGGGTACTGCTGCAAGGTACTGAAAAAATTCATCCGTCATCATTTGACAAATTTTCCCTTTCAGTGGAGAGTCCTTTGGAAGAAGAGCAAGGGAGAGTATCCGATGGGAAGCGAACCAGGTCATCCGCAGCTGGAGGACGCTGGAGGACACGAGTCCCCTCCTAAGTTCGACGACAAGGAGGGGTGCGTGGTGGCGTCGTACCGCCAGCGACGGGGTAGTCAGGCTTGAATGAATCGGCTCTGGTTGCTCTGATTTGCTTCGAAACCTGGATGTTCGTTTGTTTGGTGATCCATCCTTGGGCTGTTGATGCGCTCAAGCGTGATTCGGGATGAGACCGTTTTTTTCGAATTTCTGGTTGTGGATGTGCAGTGTTCGTGAACAATGATGCCTTCTGAAGGTGAACTTCTTTACGTCGCGTTAAAGCAGTTGTTGCTGCATTCCAGCCAATCTCTGGGGAAACTTCCAATGGAAATGGCGGACCTGGTCCTCAATGGGGAAGCAGCACCAACCATGAAGCTAATATACGAAATTCATTGCTCTAATGTGTCTTTCTAAATTGTTTTTCTATGTCACGGACACGACCTCCATTCGAACAGAACACTTGCTGAAGGATGTCTCTTGTTTACTCGATCAAATAGCTACACCTGCCAGAGACATGATACAAAAACATGAATCAAAAAGATAAAAAAAAACATGAATCACAAGGGTTTCTCATCGGACATGACAAACTCTGTCGTTAAGTGATAGCATTTTTACCCTAACTTCGGAGGAATTCAATTGGCGGGGATGGGTTGAAGAAGGAGGATATAGGCGAATCGCTTTTGGTTTATGCATTATTCTTATAGAACTGAGATTCCAAAACCATTCCCATTGTCTTGTTACATAACCAACCATGCATTATGCTCTATACATCCAGAGCAGGAGTTGAAGTTACTGTAACGATACTGAAAGCTATTTAAATTCTTTTCTTGAGGATTCTCTTCCACTACTCTCTCCGGACTACCTTCTCTACATGCGGGGCTTCCCGCATGGAATCTCCTTCATCTTGTTGTGTCCATTTGGGCGCTCATAACCGCAATGAATGATCGACTGGACCCACGCGACCAGTAAAGGATTAAATATTTCGATTTCAATTTTTTGTTATTTTCATCCATCGATCTCGACCTGATGAGCCCAAAAATTTTTTTTTCATCGCGAACACGACGACGTACTCGATCCAATCTCCACGATTCGGCCCGTTTGCCCTTGGAACAAGTCGAGTGAGACTTGGGAACCCATGACAGTGACCATGACCTTAAGGGCTACGATGTGACGCCTACGTTGGAATATTTTTGCTGCCACTATTTCCTTGGTCAGCATGGCGAAGGAGGAATTTCTTTTTTCACACCACCCACAAAAACAACGATTTTCGTAATTGTTGTCATAATGTGAATGTCATCAATAATAATGTACCTAATTTTCTTGTTTACTTCTTTGCCTTCATCTCCCTTCTAATATAATAATAATTCAAATATGGTTATTACCTTGAAGATGTCAATTCGAAGTCGGAATTTCTCTGCTGCATCTGGATGCATCGGGTTTTAATTTTATCGAATACGAAAATAAACGCGTAGGAGATCCAGTTGATTCGAACACATATCACCTTCAGTGGAAGGCAGTCTTGTGCCATGTCATGTAACTGTGCCATGTCACGTAACATTCTCGGCGGAGAAGAACCCTGGAAATATCTCATGTTTTGTCTTTCGCGTCGCAACTTCTTACCACGTGGACATCCCCGTGCGCAGGATAGTGCTGCGTGATCTGTAAGTACTGGACGCTGTATTAGTTATTAAGTGCTGGGTACTGTACTAGATATTAAGTACTGGGTACTGGTGTTGGACGGGCGGACGATTCCGCAAATCCGAGTCTCGGATGCCGTTAATTAACGATCCTTGTGGAAGACGCAGACTCCGATGGGGAAAAGGGCCCATCAGCGTATGTAACGAGTTATCACCTAAGCGTTTTGAAGCCAAAACCTGTAATTTCCATAACGTTAATCAGCAGGAAAGCCTTATGTATGTACACCTAAGCGTGCAACTGATCTAATTCGTAGGAGGATGTAGAATTTACTGCAAGGGCGGTAACCAGACTCCATTGATGGTTTGATGGGGAACCCAAAAAAAAATATTTAAAATGAGGAAGCACCGTTTTTACCACGTAGTTTGTAGGTTGCAGGTGGTCATGGGGTTGTGGAATCACAAAGCGCACATATGAGCACAGTCATGACGTAGTTCAATGGCGGCACATCCCAAAATTTCGACCTGCTTGATAGCATGAGATTAGGATCGCGAAAGTTAAAGAGAAATTAAGGAGTATTTCCTTGACTCAACTTTTGAATTTACAACAACGTAGCACTCGACCCGATAATGAAGAACCGTTCGAAACGTTTCAAAGACCGAAAGAGAAAAAGCCATCGCTGGCCTTGGATGGCTGCGGCCCACCGGACTCGTGAAGCTTCGACGCGAGTAAAAAAAAAAGGAGGTTCGGGAGCCACTGGCATGAGGGAAGGAAGGCAGTGATGACAGGTCCTTTTGCGTCCTGATTTTTTTTTTTTCAACTTCCAGAGACAGGTTCGCGGGCTACATCGACATCGCCGTGCAATGGTTACAAACGCGAACTCACTGCTTAACCTTTATCGGACAACTACTGCGCCGCAGAATGTATTTTCCGTGGCCCATTGGTACAAATGCTCTGCCGAAACTTTTTAGGGAAATGTTTCGATACCAAGTCAAACATTTTTTTCACTTTCAACTGCTTCTTTTTATAGATTATTTGCGCCGCTCAAGTAGCGAGTGTTCACGAACTGTCTATTTTAAAAATTCGGCTCTCGGCGCTGTCTAGAGGGAGATTTAAATCCGTACGATAAAGTTTAAATACAGATACAGATTTCGCATGGATTAGTGCACTAATCCATGCGAACTAATCCATCCGACTCTTCTTGTTCGAAAAGCAAAAGCTTTTATTTTAAATTCCAATGGTATGTAAAATTAAAGGATGAAGTTGAATCAACCAGGGAAATTCAAACAAAAGCAAGTTATTGTGGTAACGCCAATAGTTATAATCTAAATTATCCAGCAGTTTGGACCGCGGTCGAAAGCCGCGATTTCAAAAAGTTATTCTAGATTTGTCATTCCTGAAAATGGGCAGTCTTGCTGGTTGTCTCGGCTAAATACTAATGAATCGTGCTGTTAGGGGATCATAAGTGTTCAGATTTTCTCGTGTCTTGCATACTGAGCCAGTGTTTTTCCCGTTGGGGGAAGCGGGCCTTGGCCCACCCTTGGCCCGCCAGTCCTTGGTCTCTGATGCTCATCGTTGACGCTGAGACTGAATTGCTTCAGGTATTGGTGACTTACGAATTTAAAATTGTACTGGTTTCTCCAGCAGGTCGGGCGGGACGTGAGCATCGAGGTTGTGTGACATGAGAACCGGGATTAAACCAGGATTAAACCGGGATTAAACCAGGAGTAAACCGGGATTAAACCAGGATTAAACCGGGATTAAACCAGGATTAAACCAGGATTAAACCGGGATTAAACCAGGATTAAACCGGGATTAAACCAGGATTAAACCAGGATTAAACCAGGATTAAACCGGGATTACAACGGAAATGTCTTCTCCAAACAGCCCGAAAATGTGCACGGACGTCATGGGAAGAATCGGCCGTCGCGTCAACGCCTTCTCCGAGTCCCTTTTCCGCAAGTAAGAACTGGTCCAAGCAGATCAAGCAGAAGCAAGTCAAGCCTAAGCAAGTTAAGCTAAAGGAGGTCAATACGGCAATCAGATGATATCGTCTTTCCTTCGTAACATTTTAAGTAGCATTGTTATTGCATGAGTACCTGAAATTTCTTTTATTTCTTAGCAATTCTTTCATTTCCTAGTAATTTCTTTCATTTCTTAGCAATTTCTTTCATTTCTTAGCAATTTCTTTCATTTCTGAGCAATATCTCATTTCTTAGCAATTTCTTTCATTTCTTAGCAATTTCTTTCATTTCTGAGCAATATCTCATTTCTTAGCAATTTCTTTCATTTCTTAGCAATTTCTTTAATCTACGCTGTGGTTTACTGCAATGGTTCTATAACGGTCAATAAGAACCCCATTCCCAGCAAAATGGGGAGGCACTTCCTAATGACACGCACTTTTTCGATTCTCTCTAATGGCTGAAACGAGTAACGGCAGATCCTCTATCATGCACTTCGACATGCCCTTAACCCCACGGGCCACACGCCTCGCAGGGCATGTTAAAGAGCAAAGGGAATTTCAGCGGAGAAAAAGGGAATTCCAGCGAGAAAACGGAAATTCATGAAAATCTTTCAGGAAGTAACTGTACATCTGACAATGGCCGTTTTGAGGCCTCGGTCGCTTCGCTCTCTCTCGGCCGTTTTTTTTTTCTGCTGCGTCAGCGATGAGCTATTATCGAGCAGTGGGTGCAAAATGGATAACGGAGCCATTCTTCTATCGGTGAAGATACGGATATGCACAGGGTGATCCAGGAGTCACGCAGCCCTCGTCAAATGAAAGGGAAAAAACTTTTATTAGCATTGAATCATGGCATCAAATGCATGTGCATTAAGTTACAGTTGTTAAAGTTTAACATTTTTTAAAATCGAAATTGATTATAGTTTAAATGTAACTTGAATAAATTTGCTGGAAACGTCCACCATATTCCTTGTGGCGTGCACTCATTCGTTTGATCATGTTTAGTGAGACACGACAAAGTGCGGGTCGATCGATGCTGGGAACAAATTTTTCAATGACTTGGTGAAGTTCTTCCGAGGTCGCTTGAATAAAATCCTTCGTGCAATGGGAATAACGTGGAGGGAATAAATCTGGCAACCGTGGTGGCCAGAGATCTCGCGAAATGATGCGTTCGCAAAAAAAATTCCCTCGACATACTCATGGTCGCGTTGGGAGTGTGAGCTGCGGCTCCATCCTGTTGAAACCAGTAATTTTGTTCATCCTTCTGCAATAGTGCAATGAATTGAGCACGCAGATCAATGTTGTCACCTCTAAGACGACCGGAATTAATTGTTTTGTCACACAGAAAAACACGTTTGATGAGTGTTCCGTGACTTCTGGATCACCCTGTAGAAACTGTCGCCTCCAGTGCAATTACGGTATCGGCATTTACATCTTAAGCCGTGTCCTTGAGATGTCGGAGCAAACGGGGTAGGAGATGGTGGGGCCACGA